CCCCACCTCCCCCAACCCTTACCATACTTCCCCCAACCCTTACCACAATGCTCTGAGCTTTAATAGCCCGCTGACAATGCACCTGGCCCGCCCCTCCATTCTGAAGGACCCGATCCTGGACTTTGAAACCACCCCCGGCGCCCCCCGAATCATCGTCAACGCCGACCCCGTCATCCCTAACTACCCCGTGTTGCCTCTGTTGAGGAAACACGCCGATTATAACATGAAAATTGTTGTCGTTGGCGACGGTGGTTGCGGTAAAACTTGTTTGCTTGTGCTGTACGCCCAACAGGAATTCCCCGAAGTATACGTGCCCACAGTGTTTGAAAACTATGTCACTAACGTGGAAACACCTAACCATAAAGTGATCGAGCTAGCGCTTTGGGATACCGCGGGACAAGAGGAATACGACCGGTTGCGCCCGCTTTCGTACCCTAACGTCGATGTCCTCTTAGTGTGCTTCTCGTTAGAACTGTTTGTCTCATTGCAAAACGTTAAGGACACCTGGTTCCCGGAAGTGCTGCATTTCTGTCCCGGGATCCCCATCGTCCTCGTCGGCACCAAGGCTGATTTACAGCTGCCGATCCCGCCGGAATACCCGATCCAGGTGGCTACCGATATCAACGCCATCGGCTACGTCCAGTGTCTGGCAAAACAGATGTTTAACATCAAAACGGTGTTCAATTTCGCCCTCAACCACTTCCAAAAACAGGTCGAATTACAAGAACAGGTCGAACGCTCGCAGCAGCGGGCGCTGAAACGCATATCTCGCCTCGTCGGCGGTCTGGGATCGCTGATGGGCCTGTTGGGCATCCCCGCCCAGCACCTGAGGCTGCACCTGCGACAACCGCTGGGAGCCACCGGTCGCCTGCGGCGGCGGGGCACTCTGTACGAAAGTGCCGTGTTGTTAGATATGCCGTTAGAGGAAGATAACACGCAGACGAACCCTTACGGCAGGTTTGCCAACGACGCCGATGCCCCCTCCCCCGCCATTGTTAAAAAGCCTAAGCCGGCGTACCTCGAGGACGAGTTTGCCTTCACTCGAGAGAAACAAAAGAAAAAGAAAAAGACTAGTAAACGGTGTATAATCCTTTAATGTGACGACGATAGATTTTCTTACACGACCATTATAATACACTTATATTGACATTATTTATAATACACATTTGTTAATCGTAATTGTAAACATTTAAAAGTATGCCATCCACAACGTATCAGCGGCGGCTAAGTTTCTCGGGTTCACCGCTTGGCTGATGAGCTCCAACACGTTTTGCGTGGCCACGGTGGCCCCCGGTTGGACGTGCACCATCAGGAACACCCGCTTGAGGATGTAGTCGACGTTCACCTTAACCAAATTGCGGAATTGTTTGCCCAGCGGCATCGGCTCTTGCTTAGTATCTTGGTTCAGCGTCTGGTTCCACCACGAGATCACCTCATCACGCACAAAGAGAGTGACGTAGTTTTCCAAGTCCAGGTCTGGCTCGGCTAAGGCGCGAGCAATACACAACACGTACACCGCCAACACCCCTTCTAACAGGGTTTCACCAATAAGCTTCTGGATGTTGGGGGTAAGTCTGAACGGAACAAGCTCAGCGTTACAGAAGATCGGCACCGGCTTCGGCTCGGAGTCCGTCGTCAGCACCTCGTTGTTGCCTTGGCGTTGGGCTGAGGCTGCCGCCGCCGCTTGCTCACGCTGTTGCAACACCTGTTTCAGCGCCATCTTGCACGGCAACATGTCCAGCGTCCACACCGTACCCAGGCTCTGGTTGACGTGGATCTTTTGCGGTTGGCGGGCATTGATAAACATCATGTAGGTGGTGAAGATGAACAGGGCGTACTGCGCGGTAAACTGCTTGCGGAACAACCAGAAGTCCTCAAATTGAGGGTACAAGTTGACGAAGTAGTCCTTCAACACCGTCAGCGGCACGAGCAACAGCTGGATCGCCCCCAAAATCTCCACCCGGATCAGCATCATATCCGGTTTAGGCAATCTCTGGTCGTAGGCAGCCCGCAATTTGTCAATAGTATAGACGAACGGCTCGTCTCTCAGCTTGCCGTTGGCACGACACCAGTCTTCATAGATCTTTTGCATGGTGATGTTGCGCTCATCGTCCTTCATGATGCGAATATGAGGCAGCAACGGCACCGCCACCGGCATCGAGAACGAGATGTTGCGGCGTCTCGTCTCCACCAGCGCGTTAAGGGCATCACCAAAGATACGGAACAACTGGAAGATCAGCTCCTCGCGACGACAGTGACGGGCAGCGGGGAATTGGACGGCAAACGTGTGCAACGTGCCATCGTGGCCACGAATTCTCAACCGCTTATAGCAAGCAGTGGTGCCACGAGCCAAGTCCACCGTCGGCAAAAACCGCTCAATCTTGACGAAGTGGTTGTTGTTGTCCTTATTGAGCAAGTATTGGCCAGGCACTTCAATTTCCTCGAACTTCTGGTGGTGGAATTCCACCAAGTGAGGACACAAGTTTTCAAGCAGCACCTGGCGCAGACGACGGTCAAGCTTATCCTCAAAGCGGTCCCGCCAGTGGCGCAACTTGATGATGTAGGTCTCCAAGTTCGGCTTGTTGGCGACAAGATCCTTCTTAAATTCAGCCCGGATCTGTTTGGGAAGCACGGTTTCAGCAAAGCGAGTGATGTTGGCTTCGGTGACAGGGGGCAACTTAGTATCGTCCCAGGGGTTACCGCTGCGGTTAAGGAATTGAATCCCGTCATTAAGCAACGCCACCCCCAACCGGTAAGCGTCTTCATCAGCAGTACACTTGAACCGTTGGTTAATTTGGTCGACGATCAGCTCAAGCAGAAGGGCAAGCAACGGGTACGCCGTCTTGAGGATGCCCATGATTTCATCCACGTGTTCAAGCGTCGACGCCAATTGTTGAGCGGGGGCTTCGTCACGCTTCTTGTCGGCAATTTGACGCTGTTGAGCCGTCAAGTCTTCCTTCGTCGTCCGCAATTGGAAGTGTAACGCTTGAGGGTACAGCTTGGCGATGCGCATCAACACTTGGCGGGTCAACTTCGCTTCCTTATAGCCCAAAGCGGTAAGCAATTGCGGGATGAACGTGATCCAGTACCACACCGGCACTTCACCCTTAAAGTCGTCAAACGCCCGCGCCAACGTCCCCAGCTCATCATCCAACGAAATGAGCCACAAAATGCGCGCCAACAACTTACGCGTCTTGCCGTTCTTGTACAACCCAGCAGCTTGCAAGTAGCACGAAATGGCGTTGTTAGCGTACACCATATCGTTCTGGTTTTCCTTGAACCGCTTATCGTTGAACGTCCCCCATTCAGCCCACGCCTTAGGAAGGTTCAAGTCGATTTGCACCGAGGTGGCAAACGCCTTGTTAGCCTCATCCTTCTGGTTCATCTTATTAAGGAACATCCCCTTCAACGTAAAGAATTCCGCCTTTTGCTGGGTGGTGAAGAACACGAGGTTCGTGTTAGAAATCACGTCCAACCCAGTATTGAGTTCCGCAGGGTTGTGGTAGTGACACTTCACCTGCTCCTTAAGCTTAAGGAAGGCTTCGTGGATCTCAATATTCGGCAACTGGTAGATGCGGGAAAGCTCCTTAATACACACATCGGGCATATGGTGCTTGCGGGCGACGTGAGCAAACCGGTTGATCACCCAGGCAATTTCGTGGAACCCGCGGTAAGCGTACAGGTTCGCCGTACCCAGCGAGTTCAGCTGTTGGAGCATGGGGATAAACGGCATGTACACCTTGTTAATCACCTGGAAGGCGTGCTGGCGCCAGGTGACCAAATCATTCCACATATTGATGTCATCCCAAGTGTTAGGCAAACGTTCACGCCACACTTGAAGCACCCGTTTAAGTTCTTGCGACTTCACATCTAAGTTCTGGGCATTGGTGGTCAAAAGCAGCGTGTACACTTGCAGTGCTTCCATAAATTCAACGTACTGCTGGAAAGTGTGCAAGAGAGGAATGTGAGCCGCGTGGAAACGAGCGGGGAGACCATGCCATTTACGCAAAGCAAGTTGAATACCCTCGTCACAGTAGCGGGTAAGCTCGGCAATGGTGTATTTCTCTTGAGCAAACCCTTGAAGACACAAGAAGGTTTCAAACACTTGGCGACGAGGAGTGGGCACATCCATGACATTCTTCACCGTCTGTTCAAGGGTGTCACGGTCGTTGTTCCAGTCAGCCACTCTCCAACCACATTCAAGCAAAAGGTCACTAAACCCTTCGTGACGAGCCAAGTCGGTCAAAATGTCCCAGTGTTGCAATTTCTCGGCACAGTAGATCCAGTGGTCTTCCCATAACGCGTATTCAGATTCCAGGTATGGCAACGCCCCCGAGCGGGCTTTGACTTGAGCGTTTTCGTAAAGCCGGAGAGCACGGTCCCACATACCAATTTGTTCATACAGCAATGCCAGAATTGTTTCCTGGTACTTAGCCCGGCGACGCCAGAGCCCGTAAAGCATATCGTCTTCTCTCAAACTGGCGTAAAGCTTAGCCAACGCGTCCATCGTCACTTCACGTACATCTGCCAGCGAGTGGTTAGCGTCTTGGGTGGCTTCCAACATCGCCATCGCTTGCGTCCAGGCATCGAAGTTAGCACCCAAACACTCAACGGCAAACGGCGGCAACTCGAGATCTTCGCAACGTCTCACCCCTTCCAAAAGCATCTGGATGACGTTAGGTCTCATGTCGATTTGACGCGTGTGGTAGTCCTTCAGCAAAAGCACCACAAGGGCTCGGGTGAAGTCGAGGTGTTCACCACGAGGCACCGCCGAGAACGCAAGCGGGAACACTTGAGCCCAGGCGCTGTAGACACACTCAGGCAGCTGGTAGAAAGTGTCGATGAGCGGGTCAATAAGCTGGTGGGCCTCAAGCAGATCAACGTTAGCCAACCACTTATTGTGCTTAGCGAAAAGCGCCGTCATCTCGTCGGTGTTCTCCACTTCCATGTGCTCTTCGTCGTCATCACCGCTCCCCTTGTAAGGAAACAGGGTGAGCGGGGCCGTTTGATGGGCCTGGTGCAACTTAACGGGGCTATCCAAGTCAAACAGGCCAAACAACAACTGAATCGCCTGGTTAAGCCACGGGTAGTCGGCGAGGTACTCCCAGTTTTGTTGACGAACAATGTAATAGAGCCGCTTAGCGATGTCAGACTCCAACAGGTTGTTCAAAATGCTCATCAACTTACGACGGATTTCCACATCGGCCAGACGCGTACCGACCAAGAACGGTTGCTCCATTCTCACGGTGAGCTCAGTGCAACTAAAGGCGTCGTCCTCAAAGATGTCGATGATGATTTGGTAGAATTCTTTCAGCAATGCCGGTTCACCTCTCACTTCGAACACCATCATCTTACCCAAGATCACCGCTTTTTCCTTAGTGGTGGGGAACAAGTCAGTACGGTCAAACACCCACCCTTTGACGATGCGAATGATCTTTTCGAGGGTATCTTTATCCAACAGCCGTTCGATAAGTTGACCCAAGAGGACCAAGAAAGTCCGACGTTGGTCTCCAAGGGTAGAAATTCTCATGGCCAGCAAGTACAACATCTTTTCCAAAAGCTTCGTCGTCATTTGCGCTTCGTATTCTGCCAGAGGACCCAGCAGGCCGTTGGTGGCATTGCCTCCACTAGATGAATTCCCGTTACGAGAACCAGACCCCAGCGGCGCATTACCTTGATGAGTGATAGTAATGTGGTCCTTGCACAACTTGGAGAACGTCTTCATAACCAGCGGCATCAAATCGTCCAATGCCGCGGGACGGTAGTTGGCTAACGTCCACAGCAACGTCACCCCGGCAGCCGTCAGCGTCATTTCGCCAAGATCTTCAGCCACCGTCGAGTGAAGAAGATTGATGAACTCCTTAGTGTCGTCGTCCTCTTCAGCACCGCCATTTTCTTCACCCGAAGATCCGTTGACCTCGTTTATCGCCAGCAATATGATTCGAAGCACCCGTTGCAATACATCCTGAATATCGGTGTTGTCCAGCTTAATACACTTCTCCAAAAGCTTGTGCAAGTAGGCCAAGTTAGTGACGATCCATTGGGCCAGTTTCCATTCCAACACCACGCCCAACACTTCGAGGGCGTTAAGACAGTAGCCCAAGAAATTAGCCGCGTTCAAGTCATTCAGCAACAAAAACTTTTCGAAGAACGTCAACTTCACTTGCACCAGCGGCCAGTGTGCGGGGGAAAGCAAGTCGTGGAGAATGCCCAACGCCTTTTGACCCAACTCCAGCTCCAGGGCCCGTTGCGGCAGAATACACACGTAACGAACGAGGAAGGTGACACAGGCTTCACGTTGGCCAAGTGGGATGGTGTAGCCTTGGCTAGTGACAAAGTCACCGTCAACTTCCATCGCTTGTTCTTCCTTAGCCTTGTTTTCCCACTTGAGAATCAACTCCAGCAATTCAATCGCCAACACCTGGTTTTCAATGACGGGGTTCACTTGGATCGTCAACTTACCCATCGCCGTGATCATATTACCGATAAAGTGCTCACGAGCAGGGAAGAACAAGTCCGGGTGGTGGACAATGAACTGGTAGACATTGAGAACATTAGTTACGTTGAAACCATCCTCCAGAAGCACCCGACGCGGCCAACGGAGCCACAGCTGGTCATCGTCAGTGCGCTTGGTCATCACCGGCGCCAAAATGTCCAATGCTTGACGAACCAATTGTCTCACTTCCGTGTGGTGAGTTTTAAGCAATGCCACAAACACTTGAGTAACCAACTTGATGGGAGTATCGAAGTGGCTAATGAACAACGCAGTAGTCACATAAGCGACCTGCTTAGTGATTTGGTCCTCGAGGCGCAAGTAGTTCCAGGAGAACTTGATCACATCCTTACGCATCAGCTCAAGCTTATCGGGGCACCACTTCAACAAGATCGCCGTCGTTTCCAACAACACGTACCGGTATTGGTCCAGCTTGCCGGAGCTGTGGTCGTTGATGATATCACGGTTAGACAGCCAGATCGTCTTGTGCACCGCTTCAATCCAGTCGCCAGTGACGGCATCCAAGTTGTCTTCCAAAGCGCCATGACGAAGAAGGATGGCGTTAAACACGTAGCGGAAAAGGAACACTTTAGTAGAGAGCACTTCTTGTTCAGGGTCCACTGACGCCACGTATTTCACGACTTCACTGAGGTACTTCTTCTGCTGATCAGCATCACTCAGAGCCACAATTTCGTTCCACACGTAGTCCTCAAGCAACGGGGGTACTTTGCCTTGCACAAGCATACCGGAATCAACCACAGTCACAAGCAATTCAAAGTCGCCCTTTTGCGCCGTCATAAATTGCACCACAATCTCCAACAACTTGGTGACGGCTTGGTCCAACTGGAAGTGGACGCTCAGCACGAGCGCCGCCTCCTGTTTGATTTTGCGCATCTCGGGGACCATCTTCAAGAGCTTCACAAGCATAGGCCGTTGGAGCGAGAACCACTCGGCATCGTGGGGGACAATCGCAATCAACAAGTCGACAAAGTTCGCGTACTTAACCGCTTTGACCTCATCGTTCAGCTCCAGTTCCAACTCAGTCATCAAGTCACCCAACTTCTCCTTAGCGTGGACCCGAATGTTGTCACACTCAGGCATACCCGTGATCTGAGCCAACATGTTGCCCAATTTACGGTTGCTGAAGTGGGTGGTGTAGTACTCCATGGTGTTTTCAGCGAAACGGTTCAAAAACTTAGCCACGGGCTTGCGGAACGGCAGGTACTGGTGACGGTCTAAGTGGCCTTCGAGGTACTGGAGGGTATTGATGATTTCCACCATAAACGTAAATGCCCGCGCGGGAAGCAAGTGGAAGATGTTGAGGATGGCCATAACGATCTTAACCGTCTCGTTATTCTCCAAGTCTTGGCCGGCAATCAGACGCAAGGTGTTGATTTGCGCCCACGCCATTAAGTGATCCAACAACTTGCGACCAATCTCCACTCTGAAGTAAGAGATCAACAACTCAAGCAACCGCGCCAACGCCTCGAGGCCCAGCACTGTCAACTTCTTGTGGTCACTCAAGTTCATCAACATCGGACGTAACCCCTTTTGCAAGAGTTCCTTAGGCAAACGGGCGTTCTCCTGAAGCAGGGCTTTAAGACCTTTGTGGGCAGCGTTGATAATCTCGGTACTCTTGTTGCAAAGGGCCTTGAAAAACACACCCAAAATCCGAATACGAGCCTCAGGCAGCGACCCAAGCGTGAAGTCAGGCTTAGTGAGGGCCAACAGCAAGAGACGAATGCACACCACTCTCAACTCGATCAACTGGTGAGCCGTGCGGTACTCGTACAACCGGTGGACGTTCGCCAACAGCTCATCTTCAGCATCCACAAGCGCCAACGCCTCCAGCAATAATCGGTTCAATTCATCACCAAATTGAAGGAAGGTGTTGGGCAACTCAAGACAGAAGGTAATGGCATCGATGTTACCAATTTGCATGGGAAACGGCAACGCCCGCAACGGCTTGCGGAAGATAGGCGTCATGAGCACATGCTTACACGGCTCGATGAACTTGGCCATCTCCACCCCAGTGGCATCTTGAATTTCCCGCAACCCTTGTTGAGCGACGCGGCGAACCCGTTCATTGCTCAGAGCAAGGTCGTAGACCAATGCCCCGACGATGGTTTGAAACGGCTTATCGAGCACCGCCAGTTCCAGCAAGGACTTGTTGCATTCGTGGAGGACTTTCAACACGAGTTTCTCAGCCACTTCACAAACTTCGGCAGGGGCAGTTTCGGGAGTATCGCGGAGAACAAAGAATACCAGTCTCACCAACTCAAACTGGCGGGAGAAGAACCATTCGGCAGGGATATCGAGCAGCTCGAACATCTCTTGAAGACCTAACACCCCACCAAGCTTGTTCAGGTAGTACTCGTTGTAGCAACAATGAGTGAACCGATAGAACATCGTGCGGAACAACGGGAACAGCAACGCCGCTTGCGGCAGCTTGAACAACACCACCAGGGTATCCCACACTTGGCGGATCGCCTTCATCCCCGCGTCACGGACCGTCTTATTCCAGTGCGAAAGCGCATAGGTGATGGCATCAAGGTAGGCCTGTTCGGAGATGGTCGCCTTACCTTCTTGATCTTGCACCGAAAACGGACGCTCCTTCTTGATCTTATCAATGATAGCGGTGTGCACGTGCAACAAGCAGAAGTGGTCAGTCAAACCCTCAATCAAAGCAGTCAGCTCTTCAACAAGCTCGGGCACCAGCAACAGCGAGAATACCACTTCCAAAAGCTTAGCGAAAAGTTGTTGTTGCAAATCAAGCTTGGTTGGGTCCTTGCAATCGGTTGGCGGCAAGGCGGGGTATTGTTTGGCTTCCTCCGGCGCCGGCTCGCCCAACTTATCCACCCATTGCGCCACCTGGGCTCCGTAATTTTCGGGAATGGGAGTGGTATCGATGAACAACTGGAGAATCGCCACCAAGTAGCGGTAGGCGGAAAGACGGTAATGCAATTTGACTCGAGGGTCGTCAAACAACTTGAGAGCCAGCTTCACCCCCGGCGTTATCAGCATCGGCACTTCTTTAGGGATGCCCGCCACTTTGAACGTCGCCATCACCTCTTGCAGCATCGCGTCCATGGCGGCGAGGTTCAGTACTTGCTTGAAGTGCTTGTGGTTGCGGCCACCAAGCTTACCAAGAATGCGGATGGCGGTGTGCGAATGTTGGTGGTGGTAAGGAACTGGTTCCAAGTGTTTCCACAACGCCGCCATGATTTCGTCAATCACCGGCTCGATCATCGGGTCAAAGTACTCGGCAGTGAAGTTGTCGACGCAGAGCTCAAATGTCCGTAACCCTTGGTTAACAAGCTCAGGACCACCATTAAGGGCATAAACTAAGGGGCGCGTGAGGTAGCGCAAGTGAGGCACAAGCACGAGTAAACGCACTGGTACCGTGAGACAAAGCTCCACGTACATGTCACGTTCATACTGACGTCGCAGGTTGGCAATAAGCTTATTCAACAGCTCCAACAACACCGGGAGAATCGGCATGATCTCCTTGTAGAATTGCTCGAACCGGCCCCCCAGAATCAGGCGGAAAAGAATCCGGATGAGGAACATGTATATGATGGGCTCGTCGGCCAGGGTAGCAAGCTTAAGCAGACCCAAGATCAACTCGGTCAAATGCGGAAGAAGCACGGCTTCGTTGGTAGCGGGGAACAAGTTGACCAGCATAAAGCAAAGCTTAAAGAGTCTGATCAAAATGTTCAGTTTGACAACGTCACCTTCACCCAAATCGGCCAAATGGTCCCTCAAGAACTTAATCACTATCAGCATAAAGTTGGCCAGAGTGACTTCCAGAGCGAGGAAGAATTGTGGGAGGTGAAGCAACGCCACGTTATTAAGCATCAGCTCGTACAAGAAGTCAAGCTCGTGGTTGACGATTTCGTTAAACAGCGCCGGATCGATGTGGATGAAAATGGTGGCAAAGATCTCCATCAAATCCTTCTCCTCTTTCAGCAGGGTGATGGGAAGATTAGGACCACCGGTGCTGAAATCAAAGTCCTTAGGCTGGCGGTGTTGGGGCCGTTGCACGGCGAAGAACTGGAGGCAGGAGATACCGCCGCGGAAGAGATTGCGGAAGATATTAGTCTCTTCAAATGATATCAATTTCGCCATGTCCTTAGCCTGGGCAACCCCGCCTTCGGGAGGCACAGGGTTACAGTGTTTCAAACCGAAAATCACCAGCTTGAGGAACCGCATCAAGTTACGGTAGAAGTAGTGCACATCTTTAAGCAAATCCAGCAGCGCCAGGGCTCCCAGGATACCCGCCAGCGTCAGCACGTGGTAGCCGATAGGTGAATACAGGTCGATGTTGAACAAAGACACATACTTTTCCACTTCATCAGTGTCATTTTTGTTCTCTTCTTCCTCTTGCTTGGCCAGATCTTTAGCGGCTTCTTCCTCGAGAGGATCCTTGGCCTTCAGACTATTGTACCGTTCAATTGCCTTCTTCAGCTCTTCTTGGCGCAGCTTACTCTTACGTTCGTATTCACGATGCTGAGCGATGATGTAAGGGTATTTGCGGGCCAAGTTCTCAAACCGCTTAGCGTAGGCATCGATGATGATCATAAAGAGTTGACGACCCTCAACTTTATTCGGCAACACCATAATCTTTTCCACGAGATTGAGCAACAACTTCGCCAGCATAATCTGCACCGTCAACGCGAGCGAGTCGTCCTTAAGCAACCCACAGTAAATCTCCACCGTCAGCCAGATCTGCTTCGGCAGCAACTCGTCACGGACATTATGGATGAAATCGGCGACAATCGAGTACGCCAACGGGCGCAACGTTTCGTGCAGGGTCAACCCTTCGCCGATAAGGATATTTTCGTTGAACAACAAGTCGATCTTAGCGATGAAATTAGTGCGGAACGACGTCAGCAAGATGTGCTTAGTGGCGTGAAGCAACTCCTTTCTCGCCACCAGAAGCTCAGCGGGACAATCTTGGAGTAATCGGAGAATGACGTCGGGTACGGTGGTGGCCAATTGCTGCTTCCATTGCAGGTTTTGCATGTGTTTGATATAGTCACGGATGAACACATACGCCAAAAACAGGGCCGCTTTCACTTGGGCCAACACCAAGTCCAGGTACGCCTGGTGGTTAGTGATTTCCGGCGATATCAGCGTCACCACGCCGTCGGGCGATTTCTGGCGCCACTCACGCTGGGCGTCGGCTTCCACCTGGAGCAAATTCACCACTTTGGGGAGGAAGATGGGAAGCAGCAGCTGGATCAACAGCAGCTCCTTGTAGCTCAGGTATAACAGCACCATGGTGATGGGGCACTCGGCCAACGTCTTAAACGAGTACATGGCGCGGTTTAAGTGGGTCTTGGGGGTATCCAATGTGTCCATGTCTTCGACGTCTTCCGGTGGCAGCGGTTTCGTTTCCGGCTGGGCGAACGCCTCCTTCATTGTGTCGTTGACATGGTCGTATATCTGGCAAATGATCTCGAAAAACGGCTTGATTTTAGCGTTGAGCTTATCTCTGAACGCCTTGTGGAGCAGGGTGATGATTTTCATGCACAACACGCCGTTCTCTTCGTTCTCCTCGACGATGATCAGCTGTAAACAGTCCAAGATGTCGCCGGCAAACGGGGCGAACGTCTCGTTCATGATCAGCCTATGGATGATTTCGAGGATGATATTGCGCAAGCGGTGTTCGGGCAGGCCCAGGTTGAAGCTCACCGGCACCCGTTTGAGGTTGGAGAGGAATATCGGCACCATTTCCGTCAAAAAGTGTTGGTACTCGGCGGCGCCGTTGAACGCCTCAATCACGTCCAAAAGCTCGGAGAATATGGCATACGCCTCACGGTAGTCCGGTTCACCACCACTAGGCTCCCCTTTGCCACAGCCGGCCTCGGTGAGCCGGGTGACAAACGTGTCTAACTGGGTGGTCAGACTCATGGGTACCGTGCAGTAAATTTTGAAATTTAGTTGGGAACCGCGTTTGAACTAAAGTCGTGTGCCAACCGTAAATTTCCTATTCGGGACAGTTGCATCACCACCGTCTACTAGTAACTTCAGCGAAATCAATGATTAAACTATGTTCTTTGGAAGTTAAACTAATGAAATATTGATGGGATATAGTAGATTATGATAGGTTTTACTCGTATAATCAATTGTTGCTTTTGGAAGTCAATTGTAGCATCCTTTTCACACCTACTAGGTGAAGAATACTGATCGATTGGGTCTTTTAACTGTCCTATCCAATTAAAGACTACCATTTCTAATACAACTCCACAGATACATCTACCCATAGCAGTCACTATATTTCAGCTTGATTCAAATACTAGTGCTGAGTAATCACTCCCCTCTGATGTTCACTACCAGAAGACTCAAACTGCTCCCACTATTCGATATCCCACAACTCCTAAAATCAATAAAATAAACAAGTATCAAATCAATCAAAATAAATAGTAGTAACAATCATTAAACTCATAAATATCCTCCCGTACACCAACCTGTCAAAGTCTTATCTAGGTGCGCATCGCGGGCCTCATCTCGACACTTTCCAGCCACCACCATGCCCAACGACATCGTCGGCATCGAGTACAACCGGGTGACCAATACCACGTCGACGGACTTCCCCGGCCACGACGGCAACGGCGACTACGCCTGGGACATCGAAAAGTTCAAGGACTCGTTCCAAATCGACATCAAGCTGGTCGGCCCTCGCACGGCTAACTTCGACTTGGTCCACATCGACACCCTGATCGCCAACGCCTTCCGCCGAATCATGATCGCCGAGGTTCCCCTGGTGGCGGTGGAAAAAGTGTTCATGTTCCAAAACACTTCCGTCATTCAGGACGAAGTGCTCGCCCACCGGATCGGGCTCATCCCCTTGCAAGTCGACCCCGACACCTTGCAGTGGGTCGACAAGACGTTGCCCGAACAAGAACAATACACCGAAGAAAACACCATCGTCCTCTCGTTAGACGTCACCTGTACCAAGAACCCCCACGCCCCGAAAGGGTGCACCGACCCGAAAGAGTTGTACCGCAACGCCTACGTTTACGCCCGTGACCTCAAATTCGACCCCAAGGGGGACCAGATGCAAAAGTATGCCAATGCCCCCGTCGTCCCCTGTGACCCCGATATCTTAATCGCCAAATTGAGACCGGGCCAGGAGATCTCGTTGTTAGCCCACTGCGTGCTTGGCGTCGGTTCCGACCACGCCAAGTTCTCCCCCGTGTGCACGGCGCTGTACCGGTTATTACCCGTGATCGATATTACCCAACCCATCACTGGTGACGACGCCATCAAATTCCAAAAGTGTTTCCCGCTGGGTGTCATTGGCATCGACGAAAACGGCCAGGCCTACGTTGAAGATGCTCGTAAAGATACCGTGTCCAGAGAAGTGTTGAGACACCCCGAGTTTGACGGTAAGGTCAAGCTTGGTCGTAAGCGGGACCACTTCATTTTCAACGTCGAATCGACGGGGGCGATGCTGCCCCAGGAAATCTTCTACAAGTCGGTGAGAGTGTTGAAGAACAAGGCCGAATACCTCAGAAACTGTCCCATCGGCCAGTAAAAATAGAGTTTGTTTATAAATTAGTTTCATGAATGCATATATACATCAAAGTACTTTAAAAGAGGTCGCTGGTGTTGTAGGGTTTATTCTTTTTACCCTTACGTTTGTCGACCACTCTAATACCGACACCGCCAAAATCGTTATCGGCTGATCCATTGGTTTGCGGTTTAGGAGAGGGAGTGCCCCACTGGTTAGGGTCAGGAATCAGGTACTGGTTCACCCGTGGAATCACCGTCTTCTTCGGTTTCTTCTCCAACGCAGGGAACTTATCAGCACTGGGACTAGCCGTCAGCGACCCCCCAGTCAGCGGCGACGCCAGACCACTGCGGGAACTACTTAAATAAGCCGGGGTATAGTTGGCTTGGCGAGTGTTCACCTGGACTTTGGCTTTAGGTTGCGGTTGTAAAAGCACCGTCTTATACTTGATGGTAGGCTGAGGCGCCGCCACCGGTTTGCGGGCAGGTTTGGCGAGGGCGGGGAACTTCTCCTGTCGCAGAGCTCCCAGCAGCGACAGTTTACCCACCCATGCTTGCAGAATTACTGGCGTCAGCGACCCCGATTTTTGGAGCACGGGGAATTGTGTCGTCATCTGCGTTTGACTGTTAATCTCCAGAACAATGGTATCAAGCTGGTCTTTCAATTGCCGTTGGCCACCTAGAAGACCAGATAATTCTCCTAGTAAAAGAGCAATCTCTTCGGGACTTTGCTTACCAAACAATTCCCGGTAATTGTTATAGAGTTCCCGGGCACTAAGTTTACCATTACGATAATTAGCGTTAAACCGTTGGAACTGGTCCATTACCAGTTTATCGTAGTTCAGGTAAAGCCGAGCTCTCTCTTCAAATCTCTTTTTCTTCACTTCAGGATCATTATGGTCTTCATTGGAATTATTCGTTTCAAAGTGGCGCCGTTGAGCCAGGTTAAATGTCAGCAATTGCGAGTGGAAACTCAGTCCAATCACCATCTTATTTGAACCGGTAATGTGGCCATGTTCTTTGATCATGTGAGCCGCTAATTCAAGGTCATCAGCGAAAACCACAAACCCCTTTTCCACACATTGAGGTACAGTACACACGAAATGGTCCCGTTTAAAGTGTTTATAAAGCGCCTCGTAGTTCTTATAGTAGTCAGCAGTTTTGGGAGTGGTTTGGTCACAAATATGACACCGTTCGTGACGATCACGAATATGGACATTAAGCTCATCCTCCGAGTAGAAACGGGTATGACAGTGTTTACACTCAGGATGGCCGCTAAACCCATTATCGTCACCTTCAGTTTGATGTCGCACAAGCTGTTTATGAGTAAACACCGGGAACTCATCGACAAACGCCTTTTTGTGCTTACAACAAATCAAGCAATAAAACTTGGCGTGTTCCAGCCGCACATGGTCCTGTAATGCTTTAAACAGATCGCACGATGTCTGACAAATGCTACACAGAAACGCAAGTATCTTCTCCGTTTCCTGTAGCAGCAGTTTATCGGCAAACTCCATCGCCCATTGCTTATGGCGTTTAGCATCATAACTGACGAAATCTTTAGCCGAGTAGCTCTCGTAGTCGCGGGCAAACTCCGCCTGACTCAACACCACCGACTCGTTGTCGCTCCGACACAAAAGACACGCTTTCTTGCCGTAGAGCACCCGCTGGCGAAGCAAGCACCGATGGCACACCCGGTGGTTGCACGGGGTCACGGCGACGTACTCGACCGCATTGGCACAAATGACACATGTATCCTCCTCCTCTTTCTCCACTGGCTTCTTCGCTTTTGGACCCCGCGACACTCTCAGTTTCTTGGACGACGTGCTGCTCATCACCGGCTGAGTCTCGACTTTGAGCCACCGAGAGATTTTTCAGGCGCGAGCCCGCTAATGGTGGTAGAGGAATATCCCCGGATTAGTGGTATAATAGGGGGTGTACTGACCAATAACTATTAAAGCCTCTCTCCCTCTTCTTTACTGTGTTTCATTGGTGATGTCCATTTTCTCAGATGTTTTACTGGTTATCAATGACTTCTTCTTCCCTTGCTCGCACTGACGACCAAAGCTTAGAGATGGCGTTTAATCTCAGTGCCACCCTCAATGTGGCCAAACTCCTCTGGGCCCCGTCCCTCTGCATGCCCCAGATGACAATAAAGCTGTTTGGCGAGCTCCCCGTCCCCATAGCCTCCCACATCAAGGGGGTAGTCGTCGATAAAGACAACTGCTTCGCCCGCGATGGCGACGACAAGGTGTGGCCGGAGTACCAGCAGACGTGGGACAAGCTCCACGCCTACTACCAGGACCGGCTCTTAATTGTGTCTAACTCCGCGGGAACTAATGACGATAAGGGGTATAAGCAAGCGCTATCGCTTGAACTGCTGACGGGAGCACCGGTGCTTCGCCATCTGACCAAGAAGCCGGGGTGCTACGAGGAAATCATGGCCTACTACCACAAATGGGACATCCAACCTAATGAAATTGCCGTTGTTGGAGACCGTCTATTTACCGATATAATGATGGCGAACACTATGGGAGCATACGGGGTGTGGGTTCGTGAGGGTGTCGAACTCAGCACCAAGATGTTCCCCTCGATCGAGCGTAATCTCTACGATCGGATGAAGAATAAGTAATGCATTTAATCAGTTAAAGGAGTAATTTCATCGTCTCGTTTAGCCCCCTAAGCGTGTTTAGGTACATTTGGTAGCCGATCTGGCCTCGCTTGTCCACCCCAGTATTATACTCGACGTCCCACATCGAGTGGACGACTTTATCTTCCATCAGTCCCCGTGTGGTGGAATTGAAGAGAAACACAAGCGTACGATGACACCGCTCTCGTATCTGTTCTTGGGAGAGCTCGGGTAAACCGTCCAGTCGTCGTTGCTGGTTGATATTGCTGCGGAAGCGGGACCGCAAGCGAGGGAGGTACTCGCGAGGCATCATGTGACGGAGACGGAAATATTGGTGGTATAACGCTCGTAGCAGTGCATTGGCAGGGGGTATGGTGATCACAGGCTTGGTGATAATGTGGGGTCTCATCAGTGCGGTGATAAAAACAACAAGACTATGATATTTCGAAACTTTATATATGACAAAATTAAATTCAATCGATTACTGATAATACCGTTTTATTTATTAATTTAACTCGTGATGTGATTGATTACTTATATACTTCTCGTTTGAAATGTCTATAGCTCATCGAGGATCTCCATCGCGGCTTCAATGGTTACCCCAGTGGACGAACTAATAATGCTGGAAACAGCTTCAATGGATGAAGAACTCTGTATCGGGGATTCTGCGCTCACAACAGAGCTCACGATTGAGCTACTGGCAGTAGCAATTGACTCGGCGGCACTGACCACGGTGGACACGGCATCGCTTAGTATATCGGCCTGATCCAGAACGGCAGCACTGACAATCGACTCTGCCACTTCCACTCCCAGCTTAACCGATGCCAATATATCATCAAGCAGTGATGAAATAGAGCTGGGATCCATCGAACTCTCCACTTGGGTCATTAAAGCCGATACCGTCTCGTAGGATATACCACCTGATGAAGTCACGGCACTCGAGCTCTTAAAGAACACTTTGCCAAAAATCCACCCAAATACTCGGAATAACCGTAAGAACCACCAAAGCAACATTCTGATGGGTAACAGTAGGGCACGTCGCCAAAACACTCTAAACACACATAACCCCAAGAAGATCAACGCATACCGGATGCGCCGCTGGTCCTCTCTATCCTGCTTTTGAATAAACTTAACCACCAGATCGGAAACTGATAAAATATCGGAGAACTTCATGTAGCTTTCGTTCAACGATTTGAGGTCTTTCGTCTGCTGATCCAACGAGTCTATGTTCAATTCCGTCTGCAAAATCAGCGACGTCATGAGCTGTCGCGTCTGCTGAAGCGATTGGGTAATCTTCTTGTTCGTCAGCAACACTTGTTGTTTCGTCAGCTTGTCTTCTTGGTTCTTAGACGAACGCGCGTATCCAGCAAAGAGGGCCTCTCTGGCTTCTTCCGCCAGCATCGACAGCGATGCTTCTGGAACAATATAGTATTTTTCAAGTCTCTGTTCCTGGGTCCGTTCATTGACAGCAATATTTTGTTTGATCTGGTACTGGCGCACTTTGTTTTGGACCCCGTTAAACTTTAGCTGGTACAGCGGGTACGCCTCCGGGTACTTGATCCGCGCCACCACGAGAAGCTCCTTATACTCGACTAACAAGCTTTCCACCAATGTCTGGTCGCCACCGTCGACAAGCTCATCATAGATCTGGGTACGTAGATTATCAAACTTGCTATCCATTGAGTATAGTGGCTGAAAAATGCGCGACCAGAGCCGTTTTGCTAGCCTCTTGGGATACACTTAAATTGCCAATATGAGGCCCAGCCCCGAGGAGATTGAGGAGAAAAGGCGACAGAGACAATTGAAAAAGGCCCAGGCAGCTGCTAATGCCCCGCAAAAGCCGTTGGAATACATCCAGAGACCATTTCTACAAGTTAAATCGAGACCAGAGGACAAGCTCCTGATACGAGTGATGAGCTATAATGTGCTTGCACAGGCGTTAGTGAGAAGACATCTCTTCCCTACCAGTGGCACCGCCATCAAGTGGCTGTATCGAGGCCCCGTGATCGCCGATGAGGTCAAACACTATGATTGTGACGTCATTTGCTTTCAGGAAGTGGACGTCGGATCTACCCTAATTGATAGCATGAATAAGCTTGGGTACGTGACCAAGTTTCATTCCCACCCTCAAAAACGACACGGACAATTGATTGCTTTCAAAAAACTGCTTTTTAAGGCTGACTCGTGTCGCTTTTTGGACTATGATGAAGATAAGGAAATTGAGGGGACGGTCATCACGCAGAATGTGGGTCAAATCATTGAACTCAAGTTTACTGATGATGTCACCAAACAATACGAATACCTCCAGCTGCGACGTCTCCTTATCGGGACGACTCACTTATACTGGCACCCTTACGGTTGCTTTGAACGTACTCGCCAAACGGCAATTGTCAAGCAAACCATGGTTGATTTTGAGCGTGATCTTCGTTTAATCGATCCTAGTATAAAGTATTACAAGATCTTTGCCGGTGACTTTAATCTGGAACCATTTGACCCACCTTACATGGGATTAGTCCAGAATCCGTTTGATGAAGAAGGTCTCCGGTTATTAAAGCGAAGTGTCAACCACTTCTGCAATCGTGTCAATCAGGATAAAGAAGATGAAGAACCCGTTTATCGCGAGCCTAGTGATCCTCAGTATCGCGACGTTGAACCCCTCATTGAAGCCGTCAAAGAGGTCCATTTTGGTCTGACTAAGCCACAACTCACGTCGGCGTACTCGTCATACGTATCAGTGGATCCAGAGAATAGTCAGGTAAACGGGGAACCACCATATTCTAATTGGGCACATGCCTGGCGAGGACTATTGGACTATATCTTCTTATTCGACGGTTCTGATATTACCGTGTGTGAGCTTTTGAAGATGCCCACTAAGAAAGAACTCGGTGACGCCGGTCTACCTCAAAAGGGCAAATACCCGTCCGACCATCTCTGCATCGCCGCTACATTGTGTCTCGAGTAAGATGATGCCGTGAGTGGCCTAATAGAACAATCCAACATTTGCATCTATAAGACAACCTCCAATATACTACACCTTGTATATTACACAAACCATTGTCATGTTTGCAAGTGACCCTGGTATATCGGCAGTGCACTTCTATAGGTGCTCGGCTTAAGACTCGTAAACCGTCTCCTTCTACACTGGTTGCTAGTATCCATAAGAATCTACTATACGTCTATGCATTTGTTGAAAATCGTCACGTCGTCACGGTTGAACGGGAATGGTCGTCATTGTCCTCTTTTTTCTTTTCACTTGCGCCCAAGCAACGTCAAGAACTCCTCGCGGGTCTTCTGCTTGTCGCGGAAGCACCCCAACATACAACTGGTGGTGGTGCACGACCCCAGCTTCTGCACCCCGCGAGACACCATACACATGTGCAGCGCCTCGATCACCACCGCCACCCCTCGCGGCTTGAGCACGTCGGCGAGCGCCATCGCGATCTGCTTCGTCAACCGCTCTTGCACCTGGAACCGGCGCAGGTACATCTCCGCCAACCGGGCCAATTTCGAGAGGCCCAACACCCGTTTGTTGGGGATGTAGCCGATGTGGCACTTACCGAAAAACGGCACCAAGTGGTGTTCGCATAACGAATAGATTTCGATATCACGCACAATCACCATTTCGTCGTGGTCCTCTTCGAACACGGCCTTTTTGATCACGTCCTTGATGTTTTCCTCGTACCCTTTAGTGAAATAAAGCATCGCTTTAGCGTAGCGGTCAGGAGTTTCGAGAAGGCCTTCACGCGACGGATCCTCGCCCAACTCGACCAAAATCGTCTTTACCGCTTCGGCGATGCGTTCCTCACGGGCTTTAGCCTCTTGCGGCAGCTGGGTGAGCCGGGTCCGCGTGCCCACCAGCGGCCACAGCAAGCCGTCGTTGTCAATGGGCGGGGCAAGCGTCAACGGCAGCAGCGAGCGGGCGGTGCGCGAGGCGTCGTCGGCGATGCGGGCTCTTTTCGCCACCACGGGTATCGGCTGGCTGACGCCGTTGGCAGCGCCGGCGTCGTGGGGGGCGTGGGAGTGAGACATGTCCTGGTGGTGTGGGGTCCCCTCAATCGCCGGAGGATTTTTTCAGCGCGGGTGTGACTCAGCACCACCGAGTCAACTAATTAGACTGAGAATTGGTAATGAGTGCCGCCTCTATCTGACACCTTAAGGTTATTAACGGAAGGGCAATGGTCAATTTGATTTGTGTACATCTCGATTATGTGGACTAATTGTCTATAATTGTATTGTCTTTCACTTTGGAAGTGTAAAGTGCGGAAAATCGGGAGTGACGGAAAACGGCTCCCGATGACCCCTGGGAAACCCCATTGTTGGCGTCGAGACCAATTCGGTGTGTCAGGGTGTGGCTCTCCCCTCTACAGTACCACGGGAAATACAGGTCTTGGCCGAAGGAGACGACATGACGCAAGTGGGGGAGAAGGCATGAAGCACCCCGGAATCTTGTAGGCGTGGGTGTACGTGCACGACACAACGTCACCCTGTCCCCCCGATGAGGTCTCATCGCGGAAGCGCTATATACAGCAATTACCCCGCTTAAACCGGGGAATCCGCTTGAGAGTGCCACACAAAACTTTCTCGTTTAGCGGCCACGAGTAGCGTGATGCCATTAGTTTAGTCGGTGTGCCACTTTAGCTGGCGGCGATTCCGGGGCCAATGAGGCTAACCCCCCACGACTCCAAACGCCGGCGTCGACAGTGGCTTGCGCTGGTGTCCGCGAGCCACGTCATTGTACGCCGACAGTTACCAACAGATATGGCACCATTTTTGAGGCCAAACCCCGCCAACGGTTTCCGGGGAAATGCGAATAATAAGCAGGAGGAGACCCTCAACTGTTAGTCGACTATCCACTATAAATCTGCTTAACTATTGAAGTAGAGCAAATAGCAAGGTTATGGAGGTTCCTCGTGGAGGTCGTGGAGGTCGTGGAGGGCTGTCGTGGAGGTCGTGGAGGGTCTGTCGTGGAGGGCACTCGTAAGTGGAGGTACTGGTGGAGGGGACCTGTGGAGGCACTGGTGGAGGGGACCTGTGGAGGTTCATGCGTATTCTTCGGAGCTCCGAGAGGGTGTTTATTTAATATTCTGATATTGTGTTAGATTCTTACTTACGTGTGGGGTAAGAGCACAGAAGATGAGTTATACGTGACCTCAATCGTCGTCGATGATCAGCAAGTTGAACGATTCCCAGTCCTTGAGTTCTTTCGCCAGCGACAAGTCCCCACCGGTAAGGGTCCGGATCACCTTCATCTTGTAGTTGGCCAGCTGCTGGAAGAAGTCGAGACGCTTGCGTTCGACCTCGGCGACGTCGGGGGCGTGGCCCACCGACTGGCCCACTCTGACTAAAGTCTCAATCAGAGCGTGGGAGTTGGCAAGCAAGTCCAGATCGAACTGGAAGCGGTCCCGCTCCATAAGCAACACCACCGTCGACCCGCCAAATTTGAAGTAGCCGATCTCATCGCCCCGCAGCACTTCCTCGCCTTCCTCCACTGAAAGGATAATCAGCCCCACCATCATCGCCCCGACCGCTACCATCACCACTTTTCCAAATTGAGGCAGTTCGATGGGGATGATGGTACGCACGTTATCGCCAAACACATCGAGCTCCAGCCGAATAGCCATCGGGTTCACGGTATAGTACTCACCAACGATGTGTTTGATGGGGCCAATCACCCCATCCACGGGACAGTGGAACCGGTGGTAGTCCTGAGGGGCAAGCCGGAAGATGGCAAGGGAGCACTGGTCGGCGTTGTATAATGCTGAGTTTTCGTAGTTGTTGAAGTTGCCGTTAAACAACCGCGCCAACGTAAAATTCTTACCCTTAATCCACAATTGAGTAGCTTCATTAACTGTAGGGAAACACACGCAGCGACTATCAGCTACCGATACCACCACTTTCGGGTCGTCCAGTTCTAAGGGACGAGCGCCGGGACGGAGTTTGCGGTAGAAAAATTCGTTAAACGTGGGAAACTTCACTGGGTCCTGGATCAAGCAATCGCTAAGATCAAGCCCGTGGAACTTGATGAAGCTGGCAATGTCTTTGGTTGACTCCGGCAGGTCGAACTTGGCGCCCTGCTTTTCACTTAACAGTTTGAGGAGTTTGCGGACTTTCTTCAGACTGGCTTTGTCAGTGGTATTGTATAAGAGACGAATGCCAAGTCGGACGTATACCGACATTTTCTCCTCTAAGATGATCCCTGTGGTTCGATCCTGGACCAAGATATTAGCCAGACGGCCACCAAGCTTATACTTACCGTAGGTGATCTTTTTTACCACCCGTGGTACCCATTTGCGTCGAGCGAGCTGAGGAGTAATATACAGCAGCACCAAAAGCTTATTGACAATACTCCAGTCTTTGGAGGCACACACGGCGACGTGAGTAACGATATCGAGCTCTTCCTTCTTTAATAACCGTTTACGGTTGCATAAGGGACAAGTATCAAACACCATGATTTTCTCCTGGTGGTCGGGGAGTTTAATGTAATCTTCCAAACAGTCCACCACTTCATCCTGAGTCAACGGTTCGTCGACTTTATTAAGTTGAATGAAGAATGATTGGGCGAGTTTCTGGGAATCAGTACACCCTAACACGTCCAATAAAGATACGAGGGCGACGTGGTCGTAAGTAGCGTCGTCATCAGGGTGGAATTGTCTGAGTAAGATCTTCCAGAAGTTTCGGCGAAGCAGGTCATAGGTTTCAAACCGGGCTCGGATCTTAAGTGTTGGCTTATACTTGGTAGCGTATTTCTGGTTGGCCACTTGAAGGTCTAAATGCAACGTCAAAAAGTTCAGAGTATCGGCCACCGACAGCGTCACCACATTCTTCCGTTTAAATCTCGATTTGTGGACTTCATGGACAACGTCGTCGTCATTGCTGCTATTCTCTGTCCGATCAATAGGGATGGGTTGTGATGGTAAAGCGGTACAGTTTTCCGTGATATCCGTCAATGGCACCAGTACCGAAGCCACTCGGTCATGGTTACTAATCAAATCACGGTCAAGCACTTCAAACCGGATATCAAACCCAGCCTCAAACGGGAGCACTTCAAACACGAGTCGCTCGTTGAAGATAGGGTTAAGATTATGACGTTTCCACAGAGTACGGTAAGTTTTCTTACCAAATGTAACCACCACAAACGGGTCGACATCATAAGAAGTACGGGTGACGTTGTGGATGCGAGGGAGATCGCTACACGACACGATCTCAAGGTACAACACCCCGTACACTTTACGGTCAACAAGCTCATAGGGGCCCTCTTTCTTCTTCTTAGATTGAGAAGTAGAGGTCATGGCAAAGGCTTCGCTTTCCAGCACTTCCAGGAACGATGTGCCGTCACTAGCCCCCAGTTGCAGCTTAGGATAAGCCAGTGATGCCACGTCGCTCCCAATACCTTCACCGTAGAACCCTTGGTCGTTTACTGCTGCCACCTGAGGGGCATTCTGGTAAAGTAACGACTCGATCCAGCCGTCAAAGGCTCGCTTTTTCAGCCTTTCCAGGGTAACAAACGAACCCTCATCAGTTGACCACGACGGTGGGGTGGTTACATCGCCATTGACCATGATTTTGGGAGTATTATCCACTGGTTCGGGAGTATGTTTGGAACGACCTTTATTGGTTTTCACCTGTAATTCAAACCCAAGCAAGACACTGCCGGTAACAAAGCTATGGCGATCATCATTGGAGTGGAGCTTAAACCATTTGACGTCGGTTCTCAGTTGGAAACCAGCCCCGTTATGGAAAATATCCTCGAGGGAAAGTCTAAGCTCTCCAAGGTAATTCTTATACCGCCGGTGTTTATCCCACACCGACACCGTCACGATCTGAGAGTAGTGTTCCACGTCCAATGGTAATATGAGCTTTTCGTCCCACGACGGCTGGGTGGTGTGGCGGCGTTTGCGGGTGCTGCGCTTGACATGGTTGATCTGAGCCTCAAGCACGGGATTGCACCCCTTGGTGAACTTGATCTGGTTGTCTGGAAGAAGGTCCGCTGCCAGGTCGACTCGGATCACGAGACTGAGCCGGTAGGGCGCCGTCATCGTCTAGTACTCGATCAAAACACCGAGCAAGGGCAAATGCTAGGGAAGGGGAAAGGAGCGAAAAGGAGGTCAATTCCAAAGGTACGATGACAATTCGGCACGCTAAGCCACCGTCAACGCGCGGAAGTTGAGGGAGTAATGCCTGTGGTCAGGCAAAGGGGGCGATGTCTGACGCTCGGAGATGTGGACCCCGGGCTGTGTGGGGCTATGGGTGTGCGAATGGGCCTCCCATAATACGGTAGTGGCACCAACGTGGCTTAGGCGAGATCGGCACAATATTGCCGGCATGGCGACACGATTATCTTCTGCGCTTACTAACTAGACGGGGCTGACAATAGGGCAGTTTGAGGGCATAAGTTGACATGCGGAGTTAGCCGAAACCCGTCACAATCGCAACCAAGTTTTGTAAACTACACAAGCTGGTTGTAAGTTAGAAGAATCAGAAATAGTATTTTTGACGATTTAATCAGTAAAAGTAAACCTAGTAAACCCTTTTTTTTTTCAATACATTGATCGAGCTGTGGGGTTTGTCATGAAGCGTTCTAGACCGCTAATTATCGGCTACGCATCATTTGAACAGCTTACATGAAATGGAATGCAAATACCATCGCCGAAAGGGGACTAGTAAGCAGTATAGCCTCAAGCAGTATAGCTTGCCAGCTGATAGAGTCTGATGACATTTAAAGAATAATGGGTGCAAAAGTTTTAGGAAGTGCTCAGATTCGATTGATAATATTTTTCTCAATTTGAAAGGAAATGTATGTCCGTTGGAAAATGTCAGATTTTACACGGTAAGGTTCGATTCCGTCATTGTATAATATATTATATTGAAATGTAGTTTATATCTGGCCTAATTAAAAGTGAAATAAAAGATGAGCTACAATATTTCAACTCATCAACATGTCGACAACGGCCTTGGTGCTCAACCGCTTGATATCAGTATATGTCTGCCCCGTCCCGACAAACAAAATCGGCACTTTCGTCGCCATCACCATGTTGATCATCGTCCCGACCATCTCCCCGACGGTATCCACTTTGGAGATGATGAAAAAGTCGAGGTGGCGGCGGTTTCCAAACGCGTTGTTGAAGTTTTGCGCCTGTTCCACTGAGTCAGTACCCACCAACGCTTCACCCACCATAATGATTCTATCGGGATTAGCGGCATCACCAAACTTCTTGAGAGGAGCCATCAACCGCGAGTTGGCATGGCTTCGCCCAGCAGTATCAATTAACACCACGTCGTAGTCGTTGGCGCCACCGTATTCAATGGCAGCTTTGGCCGTGGCCACCACGTGATCGCCACTACCGTACCCCTTTTCAAATAACTCAATTTTGGCCGTCGACAGTGTCAGCTGATTGAGACGAGCAAGGTTATTAACGTGGACGTTCAATTGTTCCACTGCCCCCAGTCTAAACGTGTCACAGGCGCAAATAAGCACGTTCAAGTTATTTTGCAAAAACCAGTAGGCCAACTTGGCAAGATTGGTTGACTTCCCGACACCGTTGACACCGACTACCGAGATGACAAATGGACCCGATTGTTTCTTTTTGATCTCGTAAAGCAAATCAGTAGACACATTAGGAGTTAATGTCTTAGTGAGCTCGTCAACAAGGGCTTGTTTATACTGAGCCAACGTCACTTTACCCCCCTTAAACTTAGTGGCAAGTTTATCAGTGATTTGCTTGGCCATCGGCGGAGCCACGTTCTTCGCCACCAATTGGTCCTGGAACTTTTTCAGGACGGCGTCAATGTCCACTTGACCGCCAAAATAGCCTGAAAGTTTGGAAAGGAAACCCAGCTTTTTGGTAGAATCATCGGGAGTATCTTCTTTAGCATTTAAGATTTCGTTAAGTTCGTTCACAAGCACCAATTCTTTGTCGCGTACGAAATTGGAATTGTCCACTGATTGTAGCGGGGCGTCGTAGTCAGCAGCCTCTTTATTAGCCGAAAAGTCCAAATTAGCATCGTGGCCATGCTCCACCAATTCGCCATCAACCCATCGTCTCATCTTTTTACCACTCCCCGCGGCTGCCTTATTAGTAGGCTTTTTCAGAGATGTCGACGCCGATGTCAGTTTCGCCGTAGGCGAAGTCTCTCGAGTCGACTCTGTTGTTTCTTCCTCAGCCCGTGCCTCAAATTTCATCGACATGAGTCGAGTGAATTGTAGATCGATGAGCTCCTTCATCTTTGTTGACGGTATCTCCCCATTTTGATATTTTTCATAGGTTTTGGCAACCCCCAGCAACGTAGCCTTGATCTTATCACTATCCAACGTCGTAACACTATCAAAGTAAAGCGCCACGTGGAGCTGGTTGCGCTTGGTCCCGTAAAACCGCTTGTTGTTCACCGTGGTGGTGACGACGTCTCCGTCGAGCGTCTGCACCGATTCGTTGACGATGTGGTAGATAAACTCATTGAACGGAGACACCTTGCTGTTATATTGGTAGCATACTTGCCCTGAGCCCTTATACACGATGAGTGATTGGGACATGGGCGGTCGTCGGGGTCCGGCGGGGTTTTTTCTTAGTGGAGTGAGAAATGCGTGGCTCTAAGTGTGGTGATGGCAAAATGATGCCCACGAGTTTAGGGGGAAGTTTGAGTGGAAAGGGATATTGTGATGGCTTCAGGGGGTTGTGGGTCGTATGGGGTGTCGGTGAGGGTGTCAGGGTATCATTTTACAGCGAATTTGGTCAAAATTGGGAGGTCGGACCGCGATGATCTGGTGAAAGACGGTCCAAACTCGGTCTTTTTGAGCTAAAACAAAACTAACTGGCATATTTATCATTGTCAGGAAAACCTTGAAATTCAACGTTAGTGTTCACCTCATAAAATATCATCACGCTAAAATAACCCAATTTTGTGTGCTATAAGAGGTATGAACGTCTGGGCCAAGGTAGTGGAGGCCAGAAACTCACGTGAATGATCAGGTGACCTTGGTTTTGTGAACAGGTCTAATCTTATCTTTACCCCTGACCATCATGGGATCTAAGGTAAGTCTCTGACGGAGATAGGATAGACCGGATCCGGGTGGACGGTTGGCTCAGTGTGAAATCAATCCACTTACAGACTAGTAAGCGGACCCGGCAGTTTCCTTACTACCCCAACTTGCGTGGCTAGAGTGAAACAAAAGGATCCAATGGCACCCAGAACAAGAGAATCCACCCGTACCTCCCCTCCTGCTCAAGGTTCGTCGAGAGAAGCTGGCAGACCTGTTTCAGAGGGAGCCGGTAAGGGTAATAGCCCTTCGAGAGAGGATGGCGATGGAGATACTGAAATGATCCCTCCCGCTCCTCCTCCGCGTCATTGGACACTTCCATCCAATGATGATGAATCAGATACACCCTCAGTTGACGACTCTGGAGTGTTTTCAACGCGGTTCATTATCGTGGACAAGTTGAAGGCTAACTTGAGTGATGGGTTTGAACCTAGTCTTGATGGCCAACCTCAGGGGTTTGATGGATTATTACGCCAGTTTAATGCGTACTTGAAATTCGCTGACTCTGTGTTACGGGTGTGTGACATGGCCGGTCGACGATCCCAAGGAAGATTGACAGCTACTGAGGCTGAGATGATAACGTTGGCAATCATGTTGAAATTGGGTTTGACCGGTCGTCAAGGATGGGTCGGTCAAAGAGACCAACAGGGCAACCCAGACAAGCGATTAGTGATGGAAGCCAGCAGGACTGAATCCGAGATGATGCAGGCTTTGTGGAAAGTTGAGCTTGTAACTCCGGAAGCGTGCATTGCTAAAATCCATTCCATGTACAGCTTGTACGTTGTGAAAGAAGATATGCGAGAGACCTTCAACTTCAATCGGATTTATGAGGAGCACATGAAAGTTCCCTTCCATCACCGGATGCATAATGTCTTGATACCTTTGTGTCAACTTGGCACTTGGGAGACTGTTCGCCTGGCGGGTTCTGCCCGCATCAGAAAGTTTATGGAGGAAAACCCTAATGACTGGTGGGAGATACCTCCACCGCAATTTCATTACCAATGGTCTGAAACCGTGGACCGGAGCATCAACTTTACCCCAGTTGAGCGCCGTATACCGTATTTTGGAATTGGTACGGAAGAATCGGGACTCACTTTGGAGGGGTTAGTACCTTCTCAAAACCCTGTTGCCCTCAACACAATGCAGTCGGGAGACTCCCAGAGGAACAGTGGTAATTGGAGACCAAACAAGCGTCGGAACGGGGGCGTTCAGAACGACGATCGGCAAGGTAACGGTAAGCGTCCTCGCCGTCCGCAGAATCAGCAGAATCGAGCACCGCAGGTGCGGAGCCAGGTTGCGAAGAGCATTGTTGATAGAAACATCCAATGTCGCAAATGCAAGGGGTTCGGCCACAAACAGGCACAATGCCCTTCTATGACAAAGGCGAAAGAAGGTTTTTTTAAGAAAAAATGATTCGGTCCGAGCCGGATGACCGTAAAAGGGCCACCGACGATGACGTCGTTGGGTTCTGGGAAGACCATGATTCGGGAACCAGCAGGCGTTTTTTTCAGCGAAAGGGTAGCCTTTCAATTGAATCAGTATACGGCTCCGTGTGATGACACGGAAGGATTGGGACATGAGATCTTCTTGAAGTTGGAAGCTAAGATCGATGAGCTCGGTACTAGTATACTTCGGATGAAGATGGCGTTCGCACCACTGGGAAAGTTGGTCAAGAAAAGCCCGGGAGTCGTCCTTTGGGACTAATACATACTAGTTTCAGTACGGATTGCACATATCAAGTTCAGCTTGAAGTGGACCTCAACGGGTTGATACACGTTGGATGGTTCTATCTCGTAAACGATCTTGCAGAAGACGTGATCTTCAGCTTCGGAACATATGTCCGATGCTATGAGGAGTTCGATTTCGACAATATGAGGGTCGGAACCCAGAGGTACTTTGCAGCTTAATGAAACGCAAGCCATGCTTCGTAATGATTCAGGGTTGGTTCAGATTTGGGACGAGGACTCTTAGTTGCAGATTGCCGATGAGATGCTGGACTCCAAGAGAGAGATGAAGGATCTCATGTTCAAGTATCGAGACGCGTGGTTGGAAGACCCAGGACCAGGCATGGTACCGGAACACCGTCTTAACGAGTACCGGTGTGCGGAGAGTAAGATGCCATCAGAGTCGAAGATATTTGTAGCTCATCTCTACATCTCTGACACAGTAAGATATGCGCCGAAATGATTTGGTGGAGATGTTGCTGTGTTTGTTATTTCGGTAACATTGGAGGGTGGCATGGACCTACCACATTGGGTTACGGTGATTTGACTCGGGAATCGAACGCAGGAGAAAATATACGTGCATTCGAGGTGATAGAGATGCCGAACAATAGGTCAGAGCTACCGAACAATAAGTCAAAGTGGTAGTTGCTATCAACTAAATCGCCAGCCAACGTCCAATTCATCAGGTACTTGTGAATCGGTTGTCTGGCGTTATTTATTTTCCCGTCAGGCCCCCTCATATGATTAGTTTCTCGTGAATACGCCCCGACAGTTGTCTGCAACTGAAGCCCACTCTAACGCTCCACTAAAGAGAATGTCAACGAAGGTCACCTCGACATTGTTTTGTGTGTCGTTTCAGTCCTGGTGTCGCAAAGCAAATTTTAGGGGCATTCTTAAATAACTTTATCATGGCCACAAACGGTGAGTTCAAGTGGGACAAAAGCTAGGGGAATTGAGAATATAAAATGGTGGCATTATCGACCATTAAAGACAGTTAAACCTACAAACCAGCCCCCAAATGAAGTTGCTTTGTAACGTGTTGCTGCTCTGTGCCTTGGCCATGGCCATCCCCTTTGATTCGCTTGACCTGCTGGCTGTGGACAAGCGAGCTACCCCGGGGGTCCTCACCACCAAACTCAGCATCAATGACATCTTCCTGTACCATCTTGAGGTGAAGGTGGGCTCTGAGGGCAAGGTGTTCCACCCCATCGCCGACAGCGGGTCGTTGATTACGTGGTTGGGCAACGACGACGACTGGGCCTACCATTCGACGTCGCTTGTCAACACCACCCAGCCGGCCTACGTGGGATATGCCGGGACCGAGCAAGCTTCTGGGTACTATGTTAACGACACCATTGCCTTTGCTGATGGTGGCATTGATAATTTCAACTTTGGCGTCATCGAAAATCCGCCGTACTACAAGGAGGGCATTGTCGGTCTCGCGAGACAGAGCAACAGCAAATACGTGCCGGTGGCGCATCAGTTGAAGCACGCCGGCGCCATCGACCACGGAGTGGCATCGTTGTACTTCAGTGTGGCCAAGGACACCGGCAAGCTTATCTTTGGTGGTTACGATAAGGCCAAGGTGGGTTCGCCATGGAGTGTCCACTCGGATCCCGATACATTCAAGGTACCCATCACCAACGTCACTGCTCAGGGCAAGACGTATTATCCCGACCACGGCGACGTCCCCATCGTCGTGGACACTGGCGCCTATAGCTACCTCCCCGATGCGATTCTTGACCCTATTGTCGCGTTGTATAAGAACCCTCAGAAGCAGGATACGGGTTACAAAGTTGACTGTGACATCCCTGACGGGCTGTTCCAGCTTGGCTTTGGTGACTTGATCTTGGATATTAAGCTTAAGGAGTTTATCAACGGGCACGCCGAGGGAGACGCCTGTCACTTGGCGGCCAGGTCGTCGGAACGGCTCAACAACATTACTCTCCTTGGTGGCGGCATCCTCAACCATGTGGTGATCTTGTTTGACTATGATAATGGGGTCATCAAGGTGGCGCAGTTCAACGATACTGACGACGAGAACATTGTCCAACCTGAATGAAATGTGTTGATCGGTAATTCCCTTTTAATTTGAATGATATCAAATAGAAAAACCACCATAAAACCTCACCTCTTTTGTAATTACTCCGGATGCAATGCTTCTGTTGTAATCACAGTCAAAACACTTTATCATTTGATTGGCCCCAGTGGAAGACACAGTCCCGCTCTAGCGTAAGTGAAAACGCACCGTGATGAAATTCCCCATCTCCCGGGGTGACGATGTTATATAGCACTTAGGCTCGATACAGCCATACAGTTACCACCACTATTTTTCGAGTAAGAGAATGTTCGATTTCGACAATATGACTTCTAAAGGTCGAAACCCAGAGCCATTGCCGTTACTGGCTGGAAACAACGAAGGTACTTTGCAGCTTAATCAAATGCAAGCAATGAATGCAAAGCTTCGTAATTTTTTTTCTAACTATAAGTGAGCATTAATATCTACTTGTAAAAAAAACTGATTCAGGGTTCGTTCAGACTTAGGACGAGAACTCTGATTTGCAGATTGCGGATGAGATGCTGGACTCTAAGAGAGCTCTCATTGCAAAGAACGTCAAAGCGTTTCAAGAAATGGTATTTAGGCCGGCAATTTCCTTACTATTCCAACTTGCGCCACCATATGGTACGACAAAAATAACTCAAATCACAAATCGGCAACTTGACCGAGTGGTTTTAAGGTGCTTCCCTGCTAAGGAAGTGGGCTCTGCCCGCGTGAGTTCGAATCTCACAGTTGTCGGTTTCTTTTTTTGCGGGTTTCTTCCCCTCATTGCTGCGGCATTAAAGTGACGCTCACCATGCATCCCCGAGTCAAGGCAAGATGATGACAATCCATCACGCCATGCCCCGCCACCCGTCGCTGGCCAAGACCAACTACAAATTCCAATATCGTCCACACAACCAGCGCATCTACAAATCCCTTTAAGTTATTGTCACTTGAGCCTATCGCCGACGCAGCCCACTAAACCTTAATTAAACACCCCCAGCACCTGCGATGTCTGATTTCTGCGACACAAGACCCCCCCCTTTAGCGACAAGTTGTATACATTCCATCACCGTTTATTGTTCCCCCCAGAATGGCAATAGAGATCACCTGAGTGCGGACAAAGAAACAATCAAGAAAGAAAAAATTGCTTAGCTTATTGGTGGTGGCAAGCCACCTTCGTCATCGCGACCGCAAGCGTTGATCGCTGCCCAATGTTTGCTGGGTGGCAGTGTCTGATTAATTGGGCGGGTGTCGGCTTTAAAAGCCCCCACGCCGAGGCTGAAGAGCGTGAGTGGAGGTGATGGAAATCGAAGACGTAGAACAACGGATGAATCGATTAAAATAAAGCAAACAGAGTCTTAAATGAAAAATAGTAGAAAAGTCCTAAAAATTTAATAGTACCAATATAAAAAAACTGACCACTTTACTCTAATTAATTACAAATTACGGTTTTGCTGAAATTCCCGCGGTGGTAGAATCCCGCATAGCGCACTGCTATGACTCTTCCGTGCTCCAGAGGGAGGAGGCGCACTCCCTAACCGAAATTAAGGGAAAAAAAAAAATTCTCATTTTTAAGCGCATGGCCCACCACTTCCACGGAGACCCCTCGATCGACGAGCTCTTCGGTGAGGCCTCCAAGCTCGTCAAGGACGAACCACGGCTACAGAACCACTCGACTCGCCGCGACTCGCGTGACACCCAGGTGTACATGCGCTCGATGGACGTCGCGTCGCAACTGACCGACCGCGACTCGGTGTTGGACCTATTGCTGCCAATGCTGTTGGATACCATCAAAACCGAGCCCCTGGTGTCCCCCGTCGACGCCAGACCGAAGCTGAACTTGACCCTGCTGTTGAAAGAGGCGAAACCAAAGCCCACAGAGTGCCATAACTGCAAAACCCACACCACCCCGCTTTGGCGTAAAGACCCCCAGGGAAACACCTTGTGCAATGCCTGTGGCCTTTTCCTTAAGCTCCACGGCACCACCCGCCCGCTTTCCCTTAAAACCGACGTGATTAAGAAGCGGTCGCTGAGACGGTCGCAAACCCAACCAAAACAGCCGCTGCCGCTGGTGCTGGTGCTGGTTAACCCTCGTGACCGCAAACCCACAATATCGTCCCAGGCACCGATTGCCATTAACCCCCAGTTTCTGTCAGCGCCGCCGATCTCAACCCTGTTGCCGCTGCTGAACTCGAGATACAAAAATGTCCTTATCCTCCCTAAACCTCAGCTGAGGGGTAGCTCGACCAACTTGGCGCAACAGGGCCAGACTCAACTGCAAACACAACAGGCAGCTATCCCTATCCCTCTGCTGTCAGTGCCCCTGCCATACACTCCACAAACTCCCAATAGCTATAACCAGCTGTTCAAACGGAAAAAGCTGGAAGTAAGCATCGCCGGTAACACGTTTAAACCACAACCGCTGCTGCTGTTTAAGCGTAACCTGATCATCCCCACCCGACGGCTGCTGACGAGTCTCGCCCACAAAAACCTGGGCATCGCCATCGCCCTGATGAACATGCCCCACCAAAATATGCTGAGCTCGGCCCACACCACGCCGCTGCTGCTGCTCACGTCGACCAACATGCAAATCCTCAGTCTGCAGAAACTATTCTTCGATGGGGCGTCGTCGTTCCCTAACCGATATAACAACCTGTCGACGACGATCAATCAGCTTGACGGCATGATGAACGATGCTGAAGACACACCAGGCCTGGTGACGCTGGCCCTGCTGCTTGGCCGCCACCCGTCATTCACCACCATCCCCACCGAGTACAAGGGCCGGTCCCCGCGGTACGAAAACCTGACCCCCAACACGCCGTTGAACGACATGATGCTGTCGTCGCTCAAACGGCCGCCACAACAGACGGAAGCCTTCCTGCAAAACCCCAACCTGCTGTTCATGCGCGGCATCGACGACGAGATGTTGATCGACACCAACGAGTTTTTCCCAAACTTCCCCATTGGCGCCGACTTTATCGACTCGTTTGCCCAAATGCTGTCTCCCCCGGTGCTGGAACTGGTGGTGGATGAGCTGGAAATTCAGCGCGGGTTCGGTTTGCCTGGGAACCCCGAGCCGGCTAAGGACTTGGACTGGCTCCGCTTCGAGTTGTGAGTCCGCTGGTTCGGACTACTGACATACATATATGATGTTGTTGGTTTTTTTTATTTCGGGATTTCATGGTGGTTATCTAGCAATGACATACACCCGTCCCGATGCTATTGTTTCTCGTGATTAGATAGGTGACATGCAGGTTTGACACCACAGTTTTTGTGGGGCACCCCGATAACAAAAATATTTTGCCGATAAGTCACCCTCGTGCTACAAGATAACGAAACCGATCGGGCGTTAACTATGTAAATTTACTATCGTCGCCATATAAGTAACAATAAACCCAAAAGTTTGATCAGCACGAATTATAGAGCGAGGTTGGGGGATGAAATTTTCAGTTCTACCAGGTCAAAGCAAATAGATTGCCTATTCTAGACGTTTCCGAAATGTTTATTTGCCACTTCAAATTCGAAGTTCCGCTTCTCAAACTCCTTTTATGTGATTAAATGATAATTACGGGAACTAATTTGCAAGAAGTACGAAAGTTAAACCACACTGAGTTATCAGTCACGTCACTCGATCGATCGTGCTAGATACTCATGTTTGCGCGTACGGATATCTTCATGCTGTTCTTCAAAATATAATGTAGGGTGACGTTGAAGTGGTTTTTGTGATTACATCGTTGAAAAAGTTGAAATTTCTCTTGGTCCCATGGGTTGTTTTCGCCAAGCGATGGAAGATTCGATATGCCAAAGAAGTATTTGCTTTCCACGTGTCCAACTTTATGATAACTTTCACAATGGGCTACAGACGCTTCGTGGGGTAGAATATGACACGTGGCATTAATGTCTTTCACAATGCTCACGACGATTTGAGTAAATTACCGGTGTCAATTCGATCTCCACCAAATCCATAATCCAATCGACACGTCTATATTTTTAACTCAGATTTAGTTTGGCGACCGATTCTCGTTGCGAGCGTTTGTCCTTAACCACTTGTGGAATTTGATGCACGTCGTTTACCGATGCGACGAGAACTCAACGCGCTTATGTTATAAGGATCAAAGAGAGAACTAATGAGGAGGCAGATAACGCTGTTCGTAGCTAGGATGTAGCACACCAATTAAGATTCAATCACTGCCATATTTCATGCCCTTATTTATCCGGCCCAATTTATACTATATATTTCTGCCAACCGTTGAAGTTACTGATGCGTGGTGAGACAAGTCTTTTTTTCATTAAACGTGGCGGTAGTGGCACGACCCCCCGCGTGAGAATTTTTCAGTATATATAAACCCAACCACTGCGCGTGGCCAAACCCCCTTTCATCCACTTCCATCAACATGGCTGCTGAAAACTACAAGGTCGCTGACATCTCGCTTGCCGCTTTCGGTAAGAAGGACATCGAATTGTCCGAAAACGAAATGCCTGGTCTCATGTACATCCAAAAGAAGTACGGTCCCTCGCAACCGTTGAAGGGCGCCAGAATCGCCGGGTGCTTGCACATGACCATCCAGACCGCCGTTCTCATCAAGACTTTGGTTGCCCTCGGTGCCGAAGTCACCTGGACCTCGTGCAACATCTTCTCGACCCAGGACCACGCCGCCGCCGCCATCGCCGCCATGGGGGTCCCCGTGTTCGCTTGGAAGGGGGAAACCGAAGAGGAATACAACTGGTGTATCGAACAACAATTGCACGCGTTCAAGGACGGCAAGAAGTTGAACTTGATCTTGGACGACGGTGGTGACTTGACCACCATGGTCCACGAAAAGTACCCGGAAATGTTGGAAGACTGCTACGGTCTTTCCGAAGAAACCACCACCGGGGTCCACCACTTGTACAAGATGGTCAAGGAGGGCAAGCTCAAGGTCCCCGCCATCAACGTCAACGACTCCGTCACCAAGTCCAAGTTCGACAACTTGTACGGGTGCAGAGAATCGTTGGTCGACGGGATCAAGAGAGCCACCGACGTCATGATCGCCGGTAAGACCGCCGTCGTCGCCGGGTTCGGTGACGTCGGTAAGGGTTGTGCCGACGCCCTCAGATCGATGGGTGCTCGCGTCATCGTCACCGAAATCGACCCCATCAACGCTTTGCAAGCCGCCGTGTCGGGTTACCAAGTCGACACCATGGACAACGTCGCCAAGATCGGTCAAATCTTCGTCACCACCACCGGGTGCAGAGACATCATCGTCGGCAAGCACTTTGAACAAATGCCCGAAGACGCCGTCGTGTGCAACATCGGTCACTTTGACATTGAAATCGACGTCGCCTGGTTGAAGGACAACGCCGAATCGGTGGTCAACATCAAGCCTCAAGTCGACAGATACTTGATGAAGAACGGCCGCCACATCATCCTTTTGGCCGACGGGAGATTGGTCAACTTGGGTTGCGCCACCGGCCACTCGTCGTTCGTGATGTCGTGCTCGTTCTCGAACCAAGTCTTGGCCCAAATCGCTTTGTTCAACGCCAAGAACGACGAATTCAGAAAGCAATTCCCCGAATTCGCCAACTTGAAGGACTTCACCGTCGACGTCCACACCTTGCCCAAGATCTTGGACGAAACCGTCGCCAGATGCCACTTGGACCACTTGAACGTCAAGTTGACCGAAATGACTGACGCTCAATCGGACTACTTGGGCATCTCCAAGGTGGGTCCTTACAAGGCTGACCACTACAGATACTAAGCGTGCTGGCCCAAGGTAATCTGCCTTGGTACGAGTTTATTTTTTGCATCAACTGCATTTAATGATTTATGATGGTTACTGGGTTTTTATGGGGACCTTAAGGTAGATTATATACACTAATAAATCCTCAACGGATCGAATAGATCGCAATTGTAGATGATTGTCTGGCAATTAATATATCAACGGCTTGTGAAGCTGCTAGCGTAGCATCAATGGTCTTTGAATTGTAGTTTTCGTTTTAAGATCATCTTGTTTTGCTCTAGGATTTGCTAATGTATTCAAGCCTGAGTATTCAGATATAGCAGTTAAAAGATCTAAGAAACAATCGAAAAACCTCAATGTAAAAGATATTTAATAGTAAATTAAACTTATATAACAATGTTTACCTATTTGTACATTTGGTCAACTGTGATGACACTTCTCTCCTTGATCGTTGCTTCTTTGACTTTGTCGTCAAAACTGTCAGTCTTCACATCGACGCTATCACTTTTTACATCGACGCTTTCGATCTTGGATTCGACGTTAGCCTTAGTATCAACCTGTCTCATAGCGTCCACTTCAGTCTCCATTTCAGCCACCCCCGCACTCTCCGACTGTCTTTTTCTTTTGAATAGAACGTTGAACAAACCTTTGTACCTGTCTTTTGCTTCCTTTTCTTCAATATCCTTCAATTCTTGAGTCAGAGCAAGCTGGTGGTCTCTGAGGAAGAACAGCAAAAGTAACATGGGGGCGACAAGACATATACCAATGACACAAAGAGCCTTTTGCACTTCACGATACGCCTGCACCATTTCATTTCGAACTGGAGTTCCCCAAGGGTAATCAACAATGAATTCAAAAGGAGACCCATAAGCCCTGGTGGCTAAAGCTTCGTCACCCATGTACTGCAAAAGTCGTTTATAAAGTGTCTGCGTCCAAACCGCCCCTGAAATCGACGCCCCAAGAGCCGAACCAACATTGTACAGTGATAAATAGGCAGCCGTGGCCACTGCCATATGTTTATGACTGGTACACGATTGAATCAGTGCCTGAGTGGCGTAGATGAAGAAACCAGCACCGAAACCAAGGAGCACAAGCCCGGTAATAATTCCCAGACGAGCATCATCGCCGGAACGGAATTTAATAAGTAAGCCGTTAGCGACAAACCACATGCAAATGCCGAAAATAATAAACGGTTTGAGGCGGCGGAATTTGACGACAAAGAGCCCAAGGATGGAACCGGTGATCACCGAGACAAAAGTATAAAGATTGACGATACGAGTTGCCAGCTTCACCAGTTCATTAACTGCTACCACAAGCACAGTGTACATGTAATCGTTAGGCATATACCACACCCAGTTGATGAATACAGCAATGCCAATCGCCAGCCACACCCCACGCTCTCTCAAGAGGTGTCCCGGTAATAAAGGGTTTACGGCAAACTTTGATTCCCACAACACAAATACAGGAATCATGCACACACCAATCACGAGAGGCACAATGATCTTTGCGGTGCCCCATTGAGTTTTGACACCGCCAGCAGTGGTCAAGGGAACAAGGATCAACGCAAGCACTGCTGCCACGAGGAAGAGACCCACCACGTCAAGCTTATGGAACAAATCGACAAAATATTCTTTCCATGACACTTTCTGTTGAGCCAGTTCAGTCTCCTCATCCTCTTGAGTATCTCTCGAACTAATGAGTTGTTTCCACTGGGGAGTACGACGAGCCATCCACTCAATGTGGACCATCATTGCTAGCAAGGGCACACACGCCAACGGCATGATGAATGCCCACATGCCTATCCCCCACAGCCAGCGAGTACCCACTGCCGACGTGATATCACCAGAGACCCAAGTATTGATAATAAAAGGAAGGGCGGGGACATAGGAGCACACTAACCGCCAGTTGAGCACCGAGTTGTCCAACACAAGAATCTGAGTGATGATGTACATCCCCGTGTAGCCGCACTGGTATAATACCGTTCCACCAGCAAACCGTTGGATGTCGTAAGCCTGGGAGATGATCACCCAAAGTCGTCGTCTAGCTAGACGAGCTCCGGCACCGAGCGGCGGGCGGGCTGGGAAACAGCAATTTCGTGGTTTGCCCCCCGAGTCGAGGCTCCCCCCAAGCCGCCGGCTGGTATTCCGTTATTTCAGGGAGGGGTGACCGATTTCGCCAATATTAGGTGCGCACTACGGGGTGGCCACTACCGTCGCCAACACAACTCACCGTTAACTAGGATATTGCCCTGACCCCGTCTCCCTCAGGAATTTTCCGATAAACCCGAGGGCGACGGGTAGCAGAATCGAATACGTATACGGCCTGGGGGAATGTGGGGGTGTGAGACGGTGACGGACGTGGCCGCCCTATGGGGCCTCATTGTGGGAATGAGGGTGTGGACGGACGACGTAGAAAGTCGCGAGAGCGAATCGTCGGTCGCAGGGTGCCGGAGGGGGCTTATCGCAGTTGTCGCTCGCATGACGCCGCACTATGTCCCGCACTAGAGTGGACCCCATTAGCTGTCACTATACCCTCTAAGTATGACCAGTTGCTTAAAGTATATTGGTGAATGTCGAGGGTGGGTGTGGTTAGGGTGGCTGTCACCGGAATGGTAGGCGTTTTTGTGGGGCCACGTCATTCATCATGCTTTAATTACCCACAGTATATATGGTTATTGGGTGCATGGACACGATCGTCGACGTAGGCCTAGAAAAGTGCTAAGCTCGTTTCAACCTAGATTGCTCTCCGGTAATTTTTCGCACACGCACTCGCCTGCCAACTGAAATCAGGGTGAGGGTGGAGGTTGCCAACCGTTAATCCGTTGGCTGAAAAGTAAGAAGCTTATGCAGAGAAAGCATAGTCAGAAAGGGCTGAGGATAAGGGGAAACGATAAGGTCTAGCACTCTGTTGATATAGAGTTTCATGACGTGGTATATCGCCTCCACTGAATATCCCGAAGGCAGCAACCTTCAAAATAGTCGTTTCTAGAACCTCTAGTGCCGTCTCGGTTTTGCAAGATATTTATAGCAGCAGCTACTAAGCAGTATTGTGGAGGATAGTGCCTACTTCTTGAATTTTTCGTCAAGTAACTCCGCGATAGGGAGCAAAGTAGGCGTGAGAAAGGGTGAAAAGCTTCCGACGTGATGTCCCGCGGTTAAAAGTAGTATTTATAGCCGAGGCAGTGGTCTTGAGACATTCACTTGCCGGCAGATGGCCGTCGTATGCATACCTGATTTTGTTATTCACATCGAGTTTTCGCAGTTTCTATTACATTGCAACCATACATATATCGATAAAATAATTTAGATCTTGGCCTTAGGAGGTTCAAGCACCGACGACAAGACTTGCTTCATCTCGATGGCCAGCTCGGTCAAGCGAGCCTTCAAGTCCGCCGAGCTCAAGCCGTTGCCGCGGCGGCACGAGATGTGGACGTGCAACCAGTCGGCGTTTACCAAGTAACCCAAACCAAACCCGTCGTCAATAACCTGTTGCCAGCCCCAGGCTTGAAAGTTTTCCGAAGGAATTTGCGACGACGAGATGTACCAAGTTTGCGAGTAGTTGAACACGGGGTCGGTGAAGAATTCAGGAACGGGTTCGCCCGGTTGCAACATGTTCTTAAGACCAAACAAGTGACGGTCAACCCCGTGACCGTCAGCAGCAGCACTCAAGTAGGCAACGTGTTGCTTAGCGGCGGCTTGGAACTTGGCGGTCTTTTCTTCGTTGGTGGCGTTAGGGTCGCACCAAGTTTCGACAAACGCCTTCGATTCGTTCGACACCACTCTACCGGTTTCAGTACGACCATTCAAGTACTTACGGGTAGCAGCCGATTCGTAGGTGGGTCTCACCTTGCCGGTCAACTTGTAGTAAGCCAATTGCATCATCATTTGCACGTAAGCATCGGGCGAGGTCTTGAACTTCTTGATTTGGTTCTTACCGTAGCCGTAGAATTGGAAAGTTTCGTGGTCCAACGACGCCAAAGTGGCGGCGAAGTCAAGTTCAGCCTTAGCAACGGTAGCCCGGGTTTGCAGGTTGATGTCCCATTGCAACTTTTCCACCGATTCGCGGTTGAAGTTACCTTGGATTTCAGCGATCAACTTGGCGGGGTCTTCCTTCTTGATTTGGTCGTAAACGTAGTTGTTCATTTGCACGGTGGGGGTAGCGTCCATCTTCGAGTGTTCACCAAGGAAACCCGAGTTACCGTTGGCAGCGACAAAGTATTCGACGGGCTTGTCGAACCAACGGTTCTTGCCGTCACCGTGCCAGCACATCTTCAGCTTGTCTTCAATGGTAACAGGGTAGGTGTCATCGAGACAGATAATGAACGCCGAGGCGTGGATGGTTTCCAACGAGGCTTCGTTGATCGGCGACACCAACAAGTTTTGGTAAGCGACCCACAATTCGTCACGGTTCATCAGAGTCAACGCACCAATGGCAACTTCAGCCGGTTGCGACGCCGAGTTCTTGATGGCTTGGAAGTGGTTGTAAAGTTGAGCCTTGGTCAAACGCTGGCCGTTGACAGTGTGGGGCACCTTGTAGAAGTTGTTCTTGTAAGCGACAACAAAGTATTGGTGTTGAGCGGGGTCGAACAACTTGGTGACGTCGGCACCTTCAGCAGGGACACGCGAGTTGTTGAACATGTAACGGAACGCGTTCATGCAGAAGGGGTTGCCCTTAATCACTTCGGGTTCCAAGTTTTCTGTGTTGACTTCGTACATGAAGTTGATGGTGTGGTAAGTCAACACGGTGGCCTTAAGCAATTGGTCCTGGCCAATGGCGTTGGTGAGGTCCTTGTGGGAGAAGAAGTACGACACCCCGGGCACCACGGGGTCGCGGTAGGCGAGGTAGGCGTAGTCGTCCCACCATTCGGCCAACCAGTTGTCCTTGTCGGCGGCGAACTTTTGCAATCTCGACTGGAGCTGTTCGCCCTGGCCCTTGACGAAAGCTTGCGCCTTGGCGGTAGTTTCAGCCAATTGCTCGGGGGTCAAGTAGGGTTCGACCAGCTTCAAGTACTTGGTGACGGTGTCGTTCAAAGGGGGCACCGGCAACTTGGGCAAGTCCTTCTGGTACTTGTACAAGTCTCCGCGGGGGCCGGAGGTAGAGAAGTTCTTCTGTCTGATAACGGTGGGCATGAGCTTGGTGGCGGTGGTGGTGTTTCTCAAAAGCTGAGTGCCTCTCGTCAACATTTCCAAACGAAGATTTTGTGGGGAATTGGATGTGGCTTTATAGTGCGCTCAGGCCCCGGTAGCCAATGAATGTGCGCGGGGGAAAATGTGGGGATAACCGAGGAAACACCGGAATTATCGTTGCATTTGCCAACGGGCTCGGACCTTTATAAGTGGTAGCGGGGGTACAATTCCACTTGCAGCGAGTCGAGTTGGCTTCGGAGGTTGCCGAATCGCTCGGAGTAGACCGAAGGGGACGTGTCGTTCAGAGTCACCTGCCGAGTCACTTCTCACCACCCCCCTCTTGATACCACAGTCAAACTACGTCGATACCAACACCAGAACCCCACTCCGTTTGATCATTTACCGTGTGCTAACGGAGGAATCTTCCGAGGGATCATTTCGGCAAGATCTGAGGAGAGTCACAGGCCGACCACATTTGCCGTTCACGTGTACCCTCGGGCTTTCGGCAGCCGCCGCCGCAGGTTAAGGCCGCACGATGTCAACACACAGAGTACAGAAGGCCAAAGCTGAAGTAGACCTTAATGCCTAGACGGTCACGAGTTGGGCGGGGGAGGTAGTTAAAGCAACCATGGAAATTACCGATGGGTTATCGAGTGAGGGTTTCCTCATCACCATTTAGAAGAGTAGTGCGCGTTGAGGGATAATGGGTGTGAGTGCTAAATACCGAGGTTGAATAGAGTGTGGTGGCAGCCCGATGACCTCATGTAGAGCGATGCCTCAGAGTGGAGGCCCTTCCGAACGCGTCTTGTCCCGAGGATTTATCGGAGTAAGCTCAATTATTATCCCTGGAGCATAAAAAATTGGGTAAGTGGAGGCTGGGGTGGTGGGTCGATTCCCGAGGGAAGAGAGATTGTGGGGTACCGGTGAGCGGGGGGCCACTTTCCCAATTTTCTTAGGTCTAAATAAAATTTCTTTCTTGCTTTGCTGACTCGTGTTTAGTATACTAATGAAGCGAGATAACCAGAAGAAATTTTATTAGGGATTGGAGTTTGACTGTTGTGTCGTTGCCAGGCATATACGAAAATTTTCGTTCGACCGCGTGTTGGGTAAATGAGATTTTGACAAAGATAGATTGCGCGTTGTGAATCCTCTAAAGCTTGATAGTAGTGCATATCGAGATTTGTCCCCCACTATTATGATCCCCAATCAACCAACAGACTAAAATGGTTTATCTTTTTGATATTGCCAACATTCGATCCAGCGACATCGATGTCGTCGCCAACCCCCTCACGACACTAAGGGCCTCTATAGCTAATAATTAGGGGAAGGACCTTGAAATAAGTCATAACTATATTAGTTGAAAGCTCACTCGTCTCTTTAACCCCCTTTTTTTATTCATGTTTTTCAAAACATTTTGATGACAAGACTTATCCTGCGTGGTGTCAAATGTCGGGATCGGTGCGACGAACGAGACCCGTGGTCGGTGAGGTATTTTTAGTTAGAAAGCGTTACTTTTTTCGACACGGTATCGGCCAGGGTGGGGCAAGGCTGATGCCACAAACCCCATGCCCTCCGCTTTCCCCAAAACGGCGATTGCTGCCAGAAATCAGCCACTAACCACCACCGCCACGCGATGGCTGCACACAGGGTGAAACGGTCGGCTTCGCGCACCCTGTCAGCGGTACTGCCTGGCCAACCCTTTGCGTCACGGCGAGGTGAAAATTCACGCAACCCCGACAATCCGGTGAGCGATGCTTTCGATCCGACTATCCTTAGCGGTGGTGTTGACGGTGTGGTACGTGGTGATGGTGGCGGCGGCCTGCTACGGCTTTGTCATCATCTTGCGCCGCTTCCGTCAGCCCCAAACCATCGGCGACATGGCGACGGAGTGGGTGCCGGTGACGATCATCCGGCCGATCAAGGGCATCGATCCGGGGCTCCACACGTGTCTCCAGAGCTCGTTTGACCAGGACTACCCTCGTGATAAGCTCCAGATCATCTTCTGCGTCGAAGACGCCAACGACCCGGCGATGGGCACCTTGCGCCGCCTCGTCGCCGACCACCCCGACGTCGACGCCCAGATCCTCGTCAGCTCTAATTATAACGCCGTCAATAACAAGAGTGACGACCACTACGGACCCAACCCTAAGGTGAATAACTTGGCGAAAGGGGTGGTGGCGGCGAAACACGACTTGTTGTGGATCATGGACCTGAACGTGTGGGCGCTGCGGCGGCTCTTGAAAAACGCCGTGTACGGGCTCCAACACAACTTAAACAACGGGGACGTCGTCGGTGGTGCCCGCCGCGTCGGGCTCATCAACCACGTCCCCCTCGCGGTGCTGACGAACCCGCTGGCCACCGACAACGCCGACCTGAGCAAGACCACCAAGTTCTTGGGGGCGCGGCTCGACGAGATGTTCTTGATGACACTGCACTCTAAGTTCTATTGCAGTCTCAACAACTTGAACATTGCTCCCTGTGTCAACGGTAAGCTGAACTTGTACCGGCGCCTGGACCTCGACCACGCCGTGGCGCTGATCGGGCGCTGCCAATCACTGCCATTTTTCAACACTGCCGAAGTCAGACGTGATGCTCGTTATTTCGCTGGCCTTGGTCCCGGCCACGCCATCAAGTTCTTTGCTCGTTATATTGGTGAAGACAACATGATCGCCATCGCGCTTTGGGAGCACGCGATGTTGCGTCCCGCGCATACGGGCGACGTCGTGGTGCAGCCGTTGCTGGGGCTCGACAACACGGTGAGAGACTACACCCATCGCCGAGAAAGATGGCTCCGCGTGCGCAAGTACATGGTGTTGTTGGCGACGATGATTGAGCCCACCACCGAGCTGTTGGTGTGTGGGATGATGGGCAACGTCGGGTTGCTGACGCTCTTGTGGGGGCGGTGGTTTACCCCGTGGCTCTTCTTATTGCACATGACGATTTGGGCCGTCGCCGACTTCTACCAGTATCGCGTGCTTGTGGGCCATATCAAGTGTCCGCCGGTGCCCTACTGGATCAGCGTGCTTCCTGCGGGGGCGCGGCCGGTGCTGGTGTGGCTTTTCACTTGGGCGATGAGGGAATTGTTGGCGCTCCCGATCTGGGTGCTGGCGATGATGGGCCACGAAATCGATTGGCGGGGGAAGCCATTCAAGATCCTTAAGGACTTGACGGCGCGGGAATTATAGAATATTTGATAGATGATTTTTACTCCATCGGATGTAGACATCAATGTAGCTATGATCTTCGCCGGCGGTTTGACAATATTGATTTAGTGGCGTCACCCGCATATGTTGCATGCATTGGTCAGGGGTAAGGTACGTGGCGCTGAAGCATCATCACCCGCGNGGAGCTGGGCGGGGGGGCTCCGCCGGGGCGGGGGAGGTCACTGTTTTTTTTTTTTTTTTTCTCTCTCGAATGTTTGGGTCAACAATGTACCAATGCAATGCGGAATTCAGAATTTAACAGAACTGTAGTTTCAACGGAGAATTTCTCGGCCGCCATCGCATGGTGTTTTCCTTTAAGTGTTTGTGTCGATTTGTAAAAACTGTTGATCTGAGGGTGAGGGAGGGGGTGGGTTAGCAGCCCCGGATCCCCTATAGTCACGTGATGTTCATCAACCCCACGGTGGTGAGAAAGTCTAGCCCCCCCTCAGATCCTACTCCCCTAACGGTGGATGCCGATTCCGCGTCGACGCAGCTTAGGTGTCTTTGTTTTAAGCGTCTAGGAGCTGACAACCCACATTCCCACTGGAAACTTCCCCCCATAGCCGTACAATTACCCTGGGTCACAGTGTCGACATGTCAACACCAGGTAGCCGGTTCCTGTAAAGAGGTATACGCGATATTCTTTTTTTAGGCTCTGTCGCCAAGGTGTGAGTGAGACATTTAACGGGCGATCAGCGGAGATCACACGCCCACGATCGATATATCGACTTAAATAACGAGTGGCAATAACCAAAAACCCAAACGTAAAACCTAGCGCATCATCTCTCGTGACGCCAGCGTGGCTCATTTATCGGGGACGAGCATATATCACGACAAGCTTTTGAGGGTGGAGACGTTCGTGATTGTCTGCAGGACGCGCTCGCACGCCAATTTTTCCAAAGCGACCAGGTCAATCGCCAAAACCCTACCCTCACCTCCCCAGCCGTGGCCGTTACGCGGGAACAGTTGACGTCCGCGATGCCCGAGCTCCCTCTGGATTTGCAAATCTGCAAGAAGTGCAACCAGCCCATTTTCGAGGGCCACGCCTACGAGCTAGGCGACGATCGGTGGCATATCCTGTGCTTCAAATGCCTGAAGTGCGAGCTGCTGTTGGGTTGCAACCTGAATTTCCTCGTGTTGGGCAACGGCAACCTCATATGCTCTAACTGCCTGTACAACTGCAAGCAGTGCAACAAGAAAATCGACGACTTGGCCATCCTCACCGGCGACCAGGCCTACTGCCTGAACTGCTTCAAATGCCGCCTGTGCAAGATGAAAATCGAGGACTTGCGCTACGCCCGCACCCTGAAGGGTCTCTTCTGTATGGAGTGCCACGAGAAGCTCATGGCGAAGAAGAAAAAGTACGACGCCCGCAAACGCCACCACGAGCTGGCCAAAGACGCCGACAAACGGTCGCTGGTGGCGCTGAAAAACTCCCGCAACTCGTTGCTCAACCTGTACATGCTGTCGCTGGCGGCAGCGCCGGCGCCCCATCTTGCGGATGCGATGTTCGCCAACCTGAACCCGTCGCAGCTGCTGTTGCTGTCGCTGAAGGATAAGCTGTTGCCGGCTCCCCCCGTGCGCAATCAGACACCGCCGTTAAACGAATACCGCGACTCGTTCCCGCTGGCTCGTACCGAGAACCTGGTCGCCACCTCGCAATTTACCGTGCTGACGCTGGCAGTGCTGCCGGCGGGGGCGCTGCCCGCGGTGCGTTCAGTGACTACTGACTACCTGATTGAAGAAGTGAGAGACCTGGAAGATGACGAAGCGTTCTTGCAACGGGCGCCGCTGTTACGCCAACGGCTTAACCCTCAGCTCGCCGCTGCGTTGAAGAACCAATCATTGGGATCACCAGGAGCTCCCCCGACTCGGTCGTCATTAAGACTGCCTCTGCAACCAGCACAAATGTCGCAAACGTCATTGCTGGCACCCGAAGCCGCCACTGAATATAATAGCAAAGACAATTATCTGCCTCGTCAAAACGCGGGCAAATTGGGTCCCGCGGTGGAATTAGCCCCGCAACCGCGCCGGGAAGCACACAAGAACGATGGCACTGACAAACCCACCAACAGATCCCCGCTGCCAGACATTTCGCCACTGAAGTTCGGCAAAAACTTGCTTATATTACTGCCGAACCAGTTTCACGACCACGAATTCCATACTGCTCAACAGTACGGCCAACCCGAGTCAGCACCGGGTCTGCCACCCTTGCGTGGGCGCCGGGGCTCGCTGCTGTTGGCAGTGGACGACTCACAAAAGCGGCCACCCACCCTGCCGTTTGCTCGGGCTAACCGCCAGGCGCGAGTGGTGGAGTCAAACGACTTTGTGCTGACGGACTCCCTCACCGAGCGAGACTCGGAGCTTGATCTGCCGCCGTCGTCGCGCCGCCGTCCGTCACTGCCTCTGCCGAGACACCCGCTTAGCCGTCAAGGCAGCGACCTCAAGGAAACACCGCAAGGGCTTGGGCTTGTTGGCGTATCTATCGATCCCAACGAGCTGGCCCTTAAACGACGGGCGCCGCCGCCGATGCCCGAAGACGACGCGGGGCTGGAGCTGCTGCTGCAGCAAGGCTTATCTCGCAAAACCCTGTTGCGTACTCCGAAATTGCCGTCGCTCCGCCATAAGCGACTGATCTCCGGCAGCGGGCTGTCGTTAGCCAACAAGTTTGGTTTCTTTAAGCCTCGTGAAGGCCGCCAACCACTGGTGAGCGAAGGCACCGAGCTGAGTCAAACCACGCCTCAGCTCTCGCAGTTCCAGCTGCCTCTGTTCACCGCGACCCACCTGCGACTGACGCTGGACCTGTACGACATTTACCAAGCAGCTGCCGACGACCCGTTGCGTCAAGAAGTGGCGCAATTGGCCGCCCACAAAAAGCAGCTTGAATACGAGGTGCGGACCCTCACCACGGAAAAGCACGCGTTGCTCGCGGAAACGCGCCAGATGCAAGAACGCTATGCCGCCGACCAGAAACAATTACAGGGCGAGATCGCCGAACTTGAGCGCCGGAAGCGGGTGCTTTTGGAGACCAATCAACACCTCCAGGAGCACAACGCCTCGCTCGACGGCGCCAAGGCGATGGCGAACTCATCGCTGTCCACCACCGTCAACCTGTCCTACTACAACGAACTTGAAGAGCCGCTGGCGGGAGAGCCCCAACGGGCGGCACGGCTCAAGTTCTGGAAGCGTGGTAAGCAAGCCGGTGGCGCCAACTTGGTCACCACCGGTGTCCCTCTGGGTAATCTGCTCGCAGTACCTGAAGGTAAGGCCTATGGCGGCGGTCTGAATATCCCCGGTCTGACATCGCAACTGCTGCTCAACATTAATCACCACCAAAATGGAGGGTCTCTTGCGCCTCCCGTTGACGTCAATGGCCAGAACGCCAAGCAGAAATACCCTCGTCTGAGGTCGCTGAACATTTTAGAGCTGTTCTTAGGCACTGAGGACGGTAACCAGTGTCCGCTCTACTCGCTGACTATCCAACAGCGGGCTGACTACGAACGGACTCGTGCCCCTCTTATCATCACCAAATGTCTCGCTGAAGTTGAACGGCGGGGATTGGATATGGAGGGGATCTACCGTATCCTGGGGGGTAACCTGGCCATCGTGGCTATTGAAAACGCGTTCGCTAACCACACCGGTGACGACAAGTCAGGTAAATTGGATGAGACATTGGATTGTGACATCAATGCCGTCACCTCGGCTCTCAAACGGTACTTGCGCAAGCTCCCCGATCCCTTGATTCCGTTCTCGTTGTATGACGAGTTCATCAAGGTGCTGCTGAACAATGCCGCCACAAAGGTCGATAAGCGCGTCGAGTACCTCAAAGTCAAGGTGCTCGACAAATTGCCCCCTGCTAACTTGCATGTGTTGTACTTATTGACCAAGCACTTGGCCCTCGTCAACCTGTACCAACTGGTTAACCGCATGGGCTACAAAAACTTGCTGGTGGTGTTTGCCCCGACCATTGCTCGCGACCAGCTGGGGGAGAAGGAGATGATTGACATGGGGTACCGTAACAACGTCACTGAATTTTTGATGACCTACGCCGATCAAATCTTTGCTGACTACAACACGGAATATAGCTTTTAATAGATTTTATGGTTTTAGCGTGCTTGGAGAATATAGGCTAATGATAATTTCAATATTAATCTATCGCAAAACTAGGATCACGTGACAAAAGGCGAAGCCTTTCTCGCGATCTGCCACTTAATCATCAACAAGAGGATGGTATGTGATACGCTAAATATCCGGCGATAATGCTGACACCGAATCCATTTTACTAACGTATAAGAGTGCCCTTTTCAACTTCCAGAGTCTTTTGAAGGTTATTCTCCTTTTGATTTGCACGTGTGTGTACGTCCATCTGACGACACCGCGGCTTCTCGACAACCGCAAGCACGGGGCGCTTCTGGTCTTCTGGAAGGCTGCTCGGATCGGTGAGAGATTGAGTCCCTACGTGGCCATTGGCTGCTTCGTAATGGCATTCCAAAGCTAATGACGGATTATGACTTTTTCTATGCTCATGATATTTACAGATGCTGGCGCTACTTAAACTCGTACAGCTCGTTGCCATTGATCATCACCGCCGCTCTTTCACTGCCAACAATGCGCTCAAGAGCAGGGGTGTCCCATTTCGAATACATCGCCCGCAAAATACACAATTCGGCCTCGGCCCGCTCTTTGAACACCATCTTCCCCATGCATCTAAGCAACTCATTGTAGAATAACGGGTTCAGTGGGAGCCCGTATAAGAATACCAGCTTCACCCCCAGGATCTCAAATCGGTGGAAGTGGTGGAACCGCTCGGTATATAACATCACCTTGGCTTTCCCCAGATTAAATTGATAACGGGCACGATCCTGCGACAGCTGGTCCAGGTATTCGTCAAGGGCAACAAACAGAATGCGAGTGTTGTCTTTCATGTGCTTTTTCACTCGCAAGTAGTCAAAGTACAGGGGGATGAATATAAGGATACCATCTTCGTACGATGAGGTCTTGAAGATATTGGGGAGAACCGCGTTGGTAAAATGCTTGAACCGAGCGTCAGGGTCTTCCTGGGGCGATGACAGCAGGAACCGGGTGAACTTCTGGTGGATTCTAAGCGCCACAGAGTTCATAATGCAGTTGGCTTCGGTGATCACCGGTTTGAACCGAATTTTCCCAGCAAGGTTCTTCAGCTTAGTAGTAATCACATTATTAATGGCAGGGGTTGTGAACTCGCTGAACACAAGTGTTTGGCGGAAAAGGGCCGCCTGGTCGTTGATACTCCACATCCGAATGCGGGAAAAGTCGGCGTTGTGAAATTCCTTTGGGATCTTATTAATGTATTTCAAAATGGTTTGAACGTTATCCCAATTTTGCATTTCAATGTGGTTAGCACGGTCGATCACAAGCACCTCAATCGATGACAAAAAGTCGTACTGACGTTTAGTCTTGTCGGGGTTTTCAAGAATCCGGGCGAGCCCAATTGCCGAAGCAACAATGATGTCGGCGGAGTAGAATGCAGAGTAAAGCTTGACAGCCTTACGGGTGAATTTGAGCCCAATGCAAAAGAAATCATTCAGGTTACCTTTGAAAGCGTCTTTAAAGTCATTGGGCTTAGTTTCCGGAACCTTCTCGGTGCTGTGGAATTGGGTCAAAAACCGCTTGTGGTTCTCAACTTGCTCCACTCCCAGAAACTTGATGAGTTGTTCGATGGTCTCATAAGCTGCGTTTCTTGTCGGCAACACGATGAGTACTTTAGGTCGAGTGAAACCTTGGTCGCGCACTTCAAGGTCTTCGTTGGCGTGGAGTCTTTCAGTGTTTTTGAGGATGCGATCCCGAGTTTTGTACACATGGTTGACACAATGGGTAGCATATAGACGACGGTACTTCAGATTAGTGTGTGACTTGTAGGCATAGTTGATGTCTTGGTAATTGAGCATGGGTTCTACCAAAGGGTCATTCTCCATCAGGTAGTCCACAGCAAGCTTCACTCTCTGTTTGAGGAACTTCTCTGGGTTCGGCACAATGGGTAACGGCTTCTCAAGAGGAGGCAAGTTCTCAAGTATAGTATAGTTCTTCACTCTAGTCTTCTTAGCAAGCCTCCACTTGTTCTTGACATCGTCAGCAGCTTTAGCGACAAACTCTTCCGATGCCGCGTTGAAGTGAGACTCAAATGGATCTTGTGCATCTTCCTCATCGTCGATGCCACCGATCTCTTCATCATCTTCATCCTCCTCGTTATCATCGTCATCGTTCTCGGCAAGGTTCTCACCTGCCAACTCTTCATCACTTTCTTCTTCCGCGTTCTCTTCGTCGTCCTCCTCATCATCATCTTCCTCTTCTTCCTTGGCTTGTTTCTTGGTAGATTTAGGCTTGGGTTCCTTGTGTTCCAGCTTGAGGATGGTCACTAACGCTTGATAAGCCATATCTCCTTCGTCTTCATCCTCACTTGGAGCTTCGACAATTGGCTCGGGAGCATCTTCGACAGGTTCATCGATGGGTTCTTGTTTCAGGTCATCGTTATCTCTGGTTCTTCGACGTTTCTCCGTTCTGCCACGGTCTCTGATCAGTCGTTTCGCCATATATACGTGATGCGATGAGATGCGCGAGTACCAGATATGGTAGCCTAAAATAGACCTATAGTGTAAAGATTAATGAAACATTCAGCAAATGAAGCAATGGTCTCCTAATTAGACTTAATCATACGGGTAATACGTTTTGCATGTGCTTTGATAATTACTCAAACATAGCCACTCGTTGCTGGTTACCGATGGAAAATAAGGTGGTTTCCCTAAGATGTTAAACATCATTTTTAGCTTTCGATTTCATATTAGCAAATGTGGTAAGCACTTCATTTCATGCATTCGATTGTCGTCGACGAATTGGGAAATCTCATGAGTATATAGTTCAAATATCCCACCACTCCAAACTGACAATCATGGCCAAAGCTGAAAATCCGTCCAGCATTATTCACAAGTTATTCCTCTTGCTTGGGGCAATCGGACTAATCATATACATGATCCTCTACCCACCGGCCTAATATAATTTGAATAAATATCGATCGTTAATCATATGCTATATACAAGTTCCTAGCGACCCTGAAGACGCGCCCGTTCCGCCTCCTCTTGAAGCTGCCGCTGCTTCGACAAGTTGCGGTTCAACACCTCCAACTTCTTCATCTCTTCGTGGGCATCAAAGTTACCCAGACTCAAGTTGTCGTAAGTCTCATCATACTTCCCCGTCAGAATCGGGGCGTTACCTCTCATTCTCTTTCTCATGTCAAACATCCCGTTCTTGCACTCCATGAAATCACGGAAGTAGGCCACACAAAGCTCAGGCAACTCCTTCTTGAGCTCAGGGTTGGTCAAGCACTCCTTGGGGGTATTCCGTTGGATCAACACGCATGGCAGCCGCTGAAGACATATTGCCAACGCCTTTTTCTGGTCCTTGCAACTTCACCGTTAGTAACGTCTATGATAAAACATCATCAATAGCATGAAAAAGCCCACATACCTAGCACCCATGATGTAGCGGGGTCTGAAGACAAGAGTGGTGCGATATGATGTCGCGCGCTGCGATCGCCTTTCCGGGCCCCTTAACCAACAAAAGTGCGATATGAGCACAGTGGCAGAGCCAATAATTTCTTGACCACCACCACACCATGACAATTACCTTTGTCCCGGGGGAGCCCAGTCTGTACAGCCAGACGGTGGCCCAAGGATGCTGGCGGTCGCATCATCTTATCGTGTATGGGCTGGGCAACAATTTGATCATAGGGCTGGATAGCATCAGTGATCACGAGGCCCACCCCACCATCGTTAAAGCCGCCCATCTGTTACAAACAATATATCTCCCCCACAATCCCGAAGCCATTGCCCTTAATCCTGATAACGGACTCATTGCCGTTGCCTTGAACGAGCTGGTGGTAATATACGGCCCCGTCAACGAGTACATGAAGGAACCAAAATGGCACCAAGTGGGACCCAAACTCGACCTCAAGGGTGCCGGTCGCATCAATTGCGTCAAGTGGGCGTACCAGGAGAACGAATTATTGGTGGCATGTGCTCTGTGTGACGTATACATGTATGGCTGGCAATCGATGGACGACTGGGAACTCCGATGGCACAAGAAGCTTCCTACGCCAGTGGTGGAACTTGAAGTCAATGCTGATGGCACAGTATTTGTTACCCGACTGGTATACGACCGATTGGTCAAGTTCTGGCAACGGCAGAACGTGGGAGTGAACACGATGTTTGAAGTGGCCTATATCCCCCACCCTCGTGGTTCGTGGGTGACTCAAATTCATCTTAGAGGTCCAACATCACTGGTGGCCTCAACACCATTATCTCTGAAGGCAGCACTGATACGCAGTGTGGGTCGAGATCCCACTCGTGATATGCGTTACTTGGCTCACAACAATTCTGGGTCGGAATCGCTGCATGTCATTTACACATTCACCAATGAAGGCGATATGTACGTGTGGGGTTTCTACGATGTTCTGGGTCATCATCATTTGAAACAATGTGGCCATTTTGAAATTGGCGCTGGCGTTGAACTGATAGTCATTGACCAGTCATTATTGGGTCCTCAATTCAACTATGATGTGCTTTTCGCCGTGGATATCAAACAGTTCCGTCATAAAGTGTATGCCGTGCAAAATGTCAACGACCACCCACCAACTAATGTCCAACTAGCGGAGCTTTGGGGTGATTGGGCACCATTACCGAAATACACTTTTCCCATCCAGCAAGAGAATGCCAAACCGCAATTCCCTGAGCAACTCTCTGAGGATATCATCTGCTCGCACGATTTTATTATTCATCATCGCCCTATCACATTGTTGGTCGACTTTTTGTGGAGCCCTAATCGCCGCAGTGAAGAACTACCACCATTGCTGTTGTTGGTACACGATCGCATCAAGTGCACGATACGTGAAGATCTTTTGGAAATCACCCCTGAAAAGAAGAACTTGACGTTGCTCAACAAACTACTTGGTAACCGCAAACTGATACAAAAACTTTACCGGCTGAATACTGTTGATCTGGCAAGCAATATCTTGTTATCCACCTCCAACTTTAGTTGTCACAACTACGTATGGGAGCCACTTTTCCTTGGCAAGGGCCCTAATCAGCGCATGTCGCTCTCGAAACGGTTTGAAATTGATCTTGGGCTGACTGACCCTGAAGCTAATCGGATTTTGAAGGCGGTGGTTATCAGCGATATTATTCTGTCGGACAACCAGTTCCGTCGCCATTTAGTGGTGACTATTGACAAATTGGGTGACATAAGTGTTTGGGATTGTGACAGCAAATTCTACGAGGACATCCCCGCAAAGCTTATATCGAGAGAACACATCGACGATATCGGCACGTTTGGGGCACCGAGGCTGTTTGTAATGGTCCCTGGAACCACTAAGAATGTGTATCATATCATCGCCATTTTTTGCCATAACAAGATTTACAGTTGGACGATTAACGTGGATAAACGAGGTGAGGTTTCAATTAAGAGAACAACAATCTCTGATTTACCGCAAGAAGAGCCGATTCACTTGATCACTCAGTTCAATACCATTAACCCCCAAGGCAATTTACTTTCAGTTATAGATGCTTCGGGCACCATGCGGATTTATGGTGTTCAATTCAAGGGCAAAAACATTACATGGAAGTTGAACTACGAGATTTCCACTGGTGTGCAAAACGCTAGTAAGATTCATGGTTCTGATGTCATTGATCGGGTCGCTGTAGTTGATGGACTGGGGTGCAACCTACTGATCTGGGAAACCCGTTCGGGTCTTTTGGAATACGAAGAGAAGTTTGACAGTGGCGATAAGGTCACAGATCTTGACTGGACGTTCGTTCATTCAGGCCAGGTACAATCTGCGACGAATGCCATTTTACTGGTTGGCTTCGATCGCCATGTACTTTTGTACACGCAATTGCGCTACGATTACACAAACAACGTGCCTACTTTCGCTGTGATCGAGAATGTTGATATCTCGAACTACACTCTGCATTCCATTGGAGACCTGGTTTGGATCAACGATTGCTACCTCGTTATTGGATGTGGGAACCAATTCTTCATCGATGACAAATGGATTCACTTGAGCAACAGTAACCAACTCGATCTGACAATTCGTCAGTTGTTATTGGCGCCCGCTGGCCAGGAAGAAGTCGTTTACGACGTTAACCACTTGGCTAGTGTTCTCAATGGTCCTCTTCCGGTGTATCATCCACAGATTGTGGTCCAGTGCTTATATATGGGTCAGTACTCTTTTGTGAGTGACATTTTCGTTAAATTGTTTGCAGCCATCCGCAATGATCATATAACTTGGGATCTAGGTTATGACTTGGATACCGAACTGAGGAAAAACGGTCTCACCTCTTGCAAGAATCATAATCGTGAGCTGACTCCAGACGTTTATGATGCACTGGAGTCAAACGGAGACCTGGTTGGTGTGTTTGACAAATTCAACCTGGGGCTTGCCAAGTTGTTAGTGGAAGCATTGAATAAGGTTACTTTACCATTGCTTACCCGTCACCAGCAACGAACTCTTACTGTTTTAGTTCTGCTTGTGGCCGAACTTGTCAAATTGCTAGTTCTGTTGGATGAGAACGGTCTCCGATTCCTTTTGGGCTTCAAGTTGTTTATGAGTAATCCTAAGCAACAACAACTCACCATGCGGGACATGCTGTGGGCACTTCATTGTGATAACAAGCCTATGATTTTGTCAGTGGTTGAGCTGGATTACTTCAAAGGCAAAATCACTTGGAGTGCAATTCGCCAAACTCTTTTGGTGTATTGGGTTGATGATTTGAAACTAATGAGCATTATGGAGCAGTGTGTTCGCTATCAGTTCAGCGAGCTGCGTGATCCACTGGGAGTGATTCTGCTCATCTATTTGGCCCTTCGCAAAAAACAGATTTTGCTTGGGTTGTGGAAAACTGTGCTGCATCCTGAAAAGGTTAAGATGGTCAAGTTTTTATCTAATGACTTTACCCAAGAAAGATGGAGACTGGCAGCTAATAAGAACGCATACGCATTACTTGGTAAACATCGTTACCTTGATGCCGCTTATTTCTTTCTTTTAGGTGATCTGCCCATTGATTGTTGCACCTTACTTGCTACGAAAGTGGGCGATGTGGATTTGGCACTTGCAGTGGCCAAACTTTGGCGTGCAACTCTGTTCGATGATGATAAATCAGCTGCCATCGCTGTGGTTGAAAACTACATTGTTCCAGATGCTATTTCCAGAGGTAGTCGTTGGTTATCTCTGTGGGTGTTCTGGCAACTTGGACATAAAGAGCTTTCGGTTCAGGCTCTCATCAAAGCTCCCATGAAGATATTCTCCGCTAACAAATCCCAGTTTAGCGAACAATGTGTTGAACGCTATATCGACAACACCGTGACGACTCTCAAGGGACACTCGTTCCTCCGTGATGACCCAGTTATTGCGCTTTTGTTCAACAATTTGCGACAAAATAAGGTTAAGTATCAACAAGGTGCCAAAGGAGTCACTCCTCTTGAGGAGTTCCAGTTCATCACTAAAGTGTGCCTGATCTACTCGAGAATGGGCTGTGATTACATGTCACTCGTGATGCTTCATCATTGGCAATTCGAACACGAAGTCATCGTGTTAGAACAACCAACCCTGCCGACGAAGCAACGTCGTGTGAGTGTTATTGATGTCACCAACTCGCCGATCCATCGGCGTATGCTGATTAGCGACCTCAAAAATCCACCTCAGAAACAAAAGGATAAAGAAGCTACTAGCTCGAAGGTGACCTCGAACAAGGCACCTCCACCGCAAGTAGCATTTGAAGAGCCCGATATGCTGGGCTTTGACTTTGGTTTCTGAGAGGAACTCGCACAAGTGGCCAATAGGTTATACATTAGAATCAATTCGATAGAAGTTTTTTATCCCACGATCAGCGAACTGGATTTAGATTTTTTAAGCAAATTATACATTCGTCATAGTGATCACGTGAAAGATTGTAGTGTGTGTATTTTTGTCTGATGAACGGTGAAGTTGGCGTTTTCGGTTTACGCACGACCTATTATCACAAATTCGCTTTTGCACGTCGTTTTTCAAGCGCGACACCCAGGGATTGCCACATTTTGTCTACCTCCCTCATTGTAATCAATTTGCCTCGGTAAAGTCGCCTGATTTCTGTGAGTGAGCCGCACGAAAAAACTCTAGTGTGGGGTCAGGTTGTTGAATTATGCCAACAAAGCTGACGATGCCAATGGCGTACCCAGCGCCTCGGGTGTCGCAATTGGATGGGCATATTCTTGATACTGAACTCAATGATCTTTTGATCGATCAGCTTAAGGATTGTCTCAAGCTATTACCTCAGTGGCGGTTTCTGTTTTCCCAACACCTGGATTTATACACGTTATTGGTGAAACTCGTGGTGTTCAGACTCACAGTGGGGCGTAAAGCTCTGTCTTACGGTCTACAGCTTCAGAACTTGAAGCTTTCTGACGGTAACACCACCCGTCCAATTGGGTTTAACAAGAAGTTTGGCCTTTTCCTTCTTATCATTGCCGAATACCTATACAAAAAAGTGGCGGCGTACTTGTATCGGTTTGACAATGAAGGCGAAGTTGAAGGTGTGGGAGCCTGGGCCGATTTTAAAAGATTTTTGGTGCGTCACAACAAGGTGCTTCTCAAGTACAGTGAGAACCTTCTTAAGGTGCTCAACTTGGTGAATTTCATCCTTTTCTTGACTGACGGTAAGCATATCAACTTAGTGTATCGCGTCATGGGAATCACCCTCACCCCCATCATTTCTGACTTGCTCAAGTTTAACGGGAACAACGTGAATTTTGAATTCCAGAACCGTCAATTGGCATGGAACGTCATGACGGAGTTCTTGGTGTTTTTGATGCCTCTTTTGCAGCTCAACAAGCTCAGAAACATGGTGAGACGCCTTTTACGGCCCCGTGGTCGCAAGGGGAAGCAGCAAGGCACCAAGGTGACTCCCTTCACCAATTTGCCGATCAACCAGTGTGCCATCTGCCATCAGAATAACATGATGGCTCAGCAGTCCGGGCAGTCACGGTTGGAGTCGATTGGAGAAATCACCAATGCATACGAAACCAATTGTGGCCATATATATTGTTACATTTGTCTTGCTGCCAAATTTAACTCAATGGAAATTCGGGGATCGGCGGAAAGATGTTTACGTTGTGGTGAGGAGCTCAAATGGTTTAAAGAGTACGGGGTGGATGAGCCCGCCGGTGATGACGCTGTCGACCCTGACGCGATTCTCTATGGGGAGCAAGTGGAGGACTTGGACGATGAGGTGGACTGGAAGGACGAAAACCATAACCCTGACTACATGCCGCGGGTAGTGGAAAGCTACACGGCGCTGGCAAGCAGTGAAGACAGCGAGTACGACTCGCAGGCGGACGAGATTGGCATATCGGAGGATTTTGAAGTGGATGAGGAAATGGAGGATGAGGACATGGATGACGAGTATTTTGAAGAATTTTGATGACTAGGTACGACGATAAGATGAGACATGACTTTCTTTAGTGTAGACTTGCGTACACAGGGGCATCAGTGCGGAGCCACCATACCTTGTAGTTAAAGAAAGTGCGGATCATTAGACACGAGATCCAAATTATTTCAAGGGGGTACACCCCGCCGTTTTATCAATTGTGACGTTGCCTTAGGTCTTAGTGCTCTTTGAGGCAGATTCCGGTGATCCGATATTTACCCGCCAACCTCACCCACATTTTGTGTCTCACCCCATGGCCACCACCGATATCGTCAATCGGTTCCCTAATGATATCCTTGGCGAGATTCTCTGTCAGCTACCTTCGGAGGAGCTTCGCCGAGTGTGTCTGGTGCTTATACGATGTTCCCGGCTCCACCCCGTCCTTGACACTGTGGCGGCTTTGAGTCCGCAACACTATCTATATTTGAACGTTGACGTGCTCCAACGTCAGGAGCCAGCACACTGGTGGTCTCGATGGTTGCTGGGAGGGCAAAAGGCTCTAAATATCTCCCCAGATTGCAATTTATTTGCTCGGTTTCGCCGGGTACTGCTCACAGGCAACAACCACGATTATCCCGACATTGACTTGGCAGACTTCGCAGGAAAGACCTTCAATTTGCTGCTCCGGCTAGAGTATGTCACCATGCTTAATCCTCGATTGCAATTGGATCTGCTAGAGCTTATCCAATGTCGGGGGGACCCCAGTCGTCTTCGACTTCACCAAGGGTACCAAGCGCCCTCCCACGTCGGTGGCGTCGAGTTTTCCGGTCGTTATTTCCATTTCGAAGGTGATCTATTCTACTACGGCTCGGTCGAAGCCGATGTGGTCGAAATCTACGCCAGTGATGTCCAACACACCATTATATCCAAGTGTAATGACTTAATTTTGCGCTGTTACGTGGTGGGATCGGATTTCTTTGAAGTGGTGGTGCCACCGGGATTACTCCCCCAACTGCTAACGACTTTAGAATTGGCGATACCTGACTTTCGGTTTCTGGATGAACCACCCGACCACGTGCAATCGTTAACCATTGTAGGGGAAACGTGGGGAGAGGGCATGCCATGGCCGAAAAATCTCCATCGACTCCGGTTGGTGGGGATCCAGTTTGACCGCCACTTTGCTCTATTTAACCCGCTGTTCCCTCCTCATGTGGCAGTGATCGAGATGGTGGATTGTGTGGTGAGACAATGCCAGGTGCCGGCACCAGCATTGAAGACACTTACGGTGCGGAATTGTGATTTGTGCGAGTCGTTTGCTGCCAGCTCAGCTCACGTCGACGTCGAATACCTAGACTGACTACAATAATATACCCCACTAGAAGAATTATCGTCTTAACTCATTAACTAAACAATCTCCAACAAGAGCTGGGCCCCCTTGTTGTCGGTGTCCTCCTTGATGGTCTTGGCCAACTTCTTGACCTGCTTTTGCAATTTCTTCGCCTCGCTCAGCTTGGCAAGCAGCAACACTTCGTACAACGCCACCACGGTGAAGGCGCCTTGGTTGGCGGCCACCCACTGGGCGACATCGATGTCCTTAGCAATGCGTTCGGCCAAGTCGACCCCGGTACCGGGGATGGCGTCGACACCGTCGACTTTTTCCACCTTTTTCAGCTCGTGGTTGAACTTGTATTGGGTACCCTGGATCAACAGCTTCAACGCTCTCAGGACAAACACTGCGTGGTTGAGGAGGTGGTGGTCTTCACGAACATCGCCCGAAGTCGACACTTCCACCACTTTGTCGAGCAATTCTTGACGTTGAGGGTAGTCGCCGGGAGTGAGGATGAGTTCAGTGATGAATTGAGCCGCCAAGTTTTCCAGGAAAAACAGCGAGAAGTCGTCGCCAAGAGCGAGAATTGACAGGTAGAACATCGGCACCATCGCTTCTCTCAATTCGGCTTGACGCTTGTCTTGAGGCTTCTTGGTGGTGTGGGCGTAGGCCAAGGTTTCGTATCCCTTAAGCAACGCTTGCACTCTAGGGTTGAAATAACGTTTGTCGAGACCTCTGAGAATATAGAGAGGAGCTCTACGCCCCCATTTGTCGACAACGACGCCGGGGAGTACCTCGGGGCCGTATAACTCTTCGCCAAATGCCTTGGTAAGCATCACCGTGTCATCGGTGACCATGTACAAAGTGATGAGCACAAGGTTCCCGTGCTCGTTCTTCACCATATCCGCAGCATGCAGCTTCAAGTGCTTGACGATGTTACGTCTTTCCTTGGCGGTGGCAAGGGCGATAAGCGTACAGGCGACGTCCAGCCCTTCAGGGGTGTGGATCAATTCGGCGACTTGTTCTTGCAACAACTCGACAAACTCGCGGATCTGCGAGTTGTTGGCCTCGACGTCGTCCACCAAGCAGGCGACGTATTCCTTCATTGCCGCATGCAAGATCTGGAACCCGGTGGAGCCCTTGTTGACCGAGGCACTGATGGTGCCGTACAAGTTGGTCATGATCAAGTGCTTCTTTTCCAGCAGCGAGTGGATGACGTCGACGACGGTCTGGTCCTGGCCCAGCTCCTTGAACACGGCGTACTCCGACCCCCAGAACTCGCGCATCATCTGTTTCCGTTGCGCTTGTGTCAGGTATAACACAAACAAGTCTTCGACGACGTACGCCCCTTCCCGGTGACGCATCAACTTGCGGAGCTTACCGTGCAATTCGTTGATCACCATCTGCTTGGCATTTTTCAGTCCGTAGTGCAACAATTTCACCAACAAGTACTTACCGTAAGCACTAGTCGCAAGATCGTAGAAGTGGCCCTTGAGGGCAGTGACGATTTTGTCCCGGCGTTCTTGGGGCGAGTACTTGACAAGCGTCTGCACCACTCTCAGAGCATCGTGTTTAAGCACCAAGTCCAAAATAACGTCTTGCGAGAGCGTCCAGATCTCGTTGGCAAGCTTGTCTCTTTCTTCCTTCGAGGGGACGGGTTTGGTGCATCTGAGCTTTTCCCAGAGCTTCTTGATTTGTTGTACTTCGGTACCAGCCTTCCGTTGGAGTTTCCGCTTCTTCAACTCTTCCTTTTGTTCCTTTCTCGCCTTGGCCCGCTCTTCGGGCGACACCTTGGGCTTATCGTCGTTTTGTTGTTCTTCATCTTCGTCATCTTCATCATCGTCTTCGGCGTCCTTTTCGTCGTCATTGTCGTCCTCGCTCATCTTGTCTAACTCATCCAACTCGTCCGCTTCCGACTCTTCGTCGTCGTCTTCAGGTTGGACGCCAGAGGTGTTGATTTGGTCGAGCTCATCTTCGCTCGAATCGGAGATATCTTCAGACAGCAGCGCTTCCAGGGCTTCCGAGGATTCCACGGGTTCGACAACCTTAGCCTTTTTCAGCTTTTGCGTGGCCTTGCCGGTTTCGAGTTTTCTCTTCGCCGCCTTGATCCCCATACTGTGATTGATAGTACTCGATGGTATATCTCATCGCGTATATTTCCAGGGCGAATGTGCAGGGAAGCGATGCGGATAATTTTCAGAAATGCGTCTAGCAGGGATCGAACTCATTGCGTTATGCTGAGTTATCATTGGCCATCACAAATTAAAGTTAACACATTGTAATTCACAGTACCAATTTATACAAAACTTTTCAGCAGTGAATATAGTTGATTCACCACAAGCAATTGATGCTGATTACAAATTTACCCGTGTCTATATGCCGGATGAGTCCGCAACCCTCACCAAAATCCGAATCGTTAGCAATTCAATCCCCGCCATGTTCCGTGTACTCCCTAGAACCTCGATCTCGCCTTTCCGTGGCATTGCCTGTCGCCCGACTCAGCTGTTGCTTCGTTTCAATTCGTCGAAGGCCGCTCCTAAGGGTAATGTCAAGGAAATCTCGGACTTGACTCAATTCAAGGATTTCGTTAAACCCGACAAGTTGACGGTGATTGATTTCTACGCCACCTGGTGTGGTCCCTGTAAGGCCTTGGAACCCATTTTCGCCATGTTGTCGGACAAGATCCCCGAAGTGTCGTTTGGCAGAGTAGACGTCGACAAGGCCACCGACGTCGCTCAAGAATACCAAATCTCCGCCATGCCCACGTGTCTCTTTTTCCAAAACGGTCTCAAGATCGACACGATTGTAGGCGCTAACCCTCCTCGTCTCGTTGAATTGATTGCTGAACATGGCAAAGTCGACCTCAAGAACCGCTAAATGACCGATGCGTTGAAATGAGATCGGAATTGTGGTTTTGTATTGATTTAGTATTGATATCATAAATTATTTAGTCTATTTCACCTGTGTACATATCCACAGTGTGGTAATCTTATATGGGTGGTGTGCTCCTCGGTAGCCGCACCCAGATCGCCTTCTACCCCCTAGAGGTCTCTTCGCGTTTTGCGTGTCTCCACTACCCCACGCCACACAGTCTCAATGATCAAAGGGTTGGTTCGAACGGCGATCCCGCTCACGGCGTTCGCCGTGGGTGTGGCGATGTTCCCGGTGAACTGGAGAAAGCTGGCGTGGACAGAAAAAGCGCCAGTGCACTCGAATCCCGAGGTGGTGAAGGCTATCGAACAGACTAGCTTGTACCAGAAGTTGGTCCAAGATCCCAACTTTGAGTTCTGGTCTAAGAATGCCACTTTGCCTAGTCAACACCAGAAGAATCAGGTAAGCACCGGTCTCATGTTCGGCAAGGATGGCTTCGAAATTGACCCCATTGGGTTCATGGACAAAAAGAATGGCAAGTTGGTGGCCTATTTCCATTTGGGGAAAAACCTCACCAGTGCCGATGGCCAGATCCACAACGGTGTTATGGCCACCATCTTGGACGAAGGATTGTGCATGGCTGGGTTCCCCTTGTTGCCTCTGAAACGCGGGGTCACGGCAAAGTTGGCGATTGATTTCCACAACCAGGCTCCCCCAGGGTCAACGGTGAAGCTCGAGGCAAATGTCGTCGAGGCGAAGGGTCGTAAGGTCGTGATTGAAGGTGGGGTTTCTACCATAAATCTTACCAGTCCCGATAAGCCCGGTGTGACCATTGCCACTGCATCATGCATTCTAGTAGAACCCAAGTGGTTCAAGTATTTCAACTGGTTGAAACTTCTTTGAGCCTTACTGCTATTTCCCATGATCGACCAATTATATAGATCAAGAACATCACATGTATCACAATAGCATTATAATAACACAAATAGCTGTTATCATCAGTTCAGTGGACGTGATTATTACGTCGAACGCATTACCAATAAATCAAGATTCACAAATGTCCACAGCGTAATCGTTCTCAACGGTATAGACTCGCGCAATACAACAATGTGGATTTCTCCCGAAGGGATAGGTTCTAGAACTCAGAAGAGGCATTCGTCCGCCGCAAATCAATGACCGATAGGTTAGTGCTCTTTAGACACAGCTCTGCGGAATAATGTGGCCTTGTAGGAAACGAGATTTTGCGTAACGCAATAATTACCCAAATGCAGGGTACCCCCAGGCACAGCAGATAAAACTCACATTAAACGGTACGTGATGCAAAGTTTGAACTGTCTGCTTTGTGCCAACAACGCCTGAAATTAGCAAAAAACACAACCGATGGACCTTTGCAACAGAATTGCCAGGATGTAATGGCTCGAGTTGCAACGATAATGATGACCTTCTTCAAATTCACATCATTGCGTTGCGGGGTGCTCAAATTACACATTGGTATTCATCTTCAACCAGCTGCTGGCAAAGTCTTTTGAATCAAGTTTGAATGTTAGCCCATGGCTTTGGGAATCTTGAGAACCTGATTTTACCTAATTGAACTCAATTTCCAAAATAGATCGCACACTTCTGGACAAGTTATTTCCTCCCTTGATTTGCAATAGCAGCATGATCCCTTTCAACCAGAAGAGGTGCAAAATTTAACATCGAGTTGATTCCGCTCGATCTGGAAGTTGCCCGTAAATTTTCGTGTAAGCAGTGTGTTGCAAACCTCTTGCATGAAACTGAGGAATCAATGAACGAACCCATTTTGTGGCTGATGGACAAGGAAACAAAAACCACTATGCTTTCCGTGGAATAATCCCTGAATATGCATAGGGAGTCAAACTTGTGTTTGAAAATTCCATGAATCTGAATCAGAGCGCATATAATAAGCACCATAGGCTATAGGAATGAATTATTCCTCCTAATACACATGAAATCATTATGATGAGTATTAGAACGCTCTAGTCGTATTCGTGGAATACAGTTTAGATGATCCTTCGCTAATGCACGCCGCCTGAGAATTAGGAGCCATGACATCAACAAAATGTTGGTACCATTCGGCATTAGCAGCATGCATGCATGATAAGTTTGATTGCAAAAGTAGTACCACTAATAGATTGAGTCCAGTCTGCTCCAGTGTACTGAATGGTTTCATTGTAGTCAAGCTCGCTTATTCAGTAAACTTGCATATTTTAGAGATTTTCCGTCGTGTCGTCTTGGATTCAACTGGAATTTCGACAAATGATGGAGTAGTGAGTCAGCAAGACAAAACAATTCAATTCAAAAATCAGAAATTTATGCATTTCCAAACATAGAATAGTCGCAATTTGGTTGCGTGGTTATTGATCTCATTGCGTCCACATTATCAGTTGTTCAATATGACTGAGCTCCTCACAATCTGGAAATTGTCACTTCAAGCATTTTTGGTGGACTCAAAGCCCTCAAATTGGTTAGGATATTGTTGATAGGTTATATCTTATTGAGTTCTCGAATGGAAAAATGCTAGGTTGACTCAAATAAAGCTGTCACAATTAACAAGTGTTTGCAACAGCCTTCTCAAATTCTTGGGAAACCTAAAACACCTTCAATTTTGATTCCTTTTCACGTAGATAATAAGCAAAAAGTAAGACATTGATCACGTCGTTACTCGTTCGTGTTATACGCATGCCCTTTCCAGGTGCTCACACTCGTCTTCCACTGTTCGTGGTCAACCGCTTCATATCGAACCTTCAAGAGGGATAAGGGAAAGCAGCATATATCGAATTCAACTTTTAAATCATTTTCAATAAGTAGAGGTTTGGAATCCTTATTATCGATTGTTCTTTTTTTTTCCAGGGGTAGAAGTTTCTAGAATGATATATGTAGCGAAATTCGGAGTTATGCGATGTTGCCTGTAATGTTGAATCATCAGATACATTAGTAATGCCGTGTATCTCATTTTTCATGGCGTTGGAAATTCTGGTTAAAGTCCAATTCCCAACTTTAAGTTGCATCAGTATTGTTTCATAATATTCTACATGAGGTCATGTAGAACCCTACTACCAAATAATATTAGCGGCTATAATGCCTCGATCGGCTGAGTTAATTTCATTCGACCGATGAGTACCAAGACTCATCTTGTTGTAAAAGCTATCTCATATCATTTGTAAAATAGTTTTTTCAGGTTCATATTGAGGCTTGTTGTCTACTCGCGCGACGCAGTTACGCAGTCGGCGAAATTCAAAGTAAGGAGTCCCATACATATGGATCTGCAAGCGATTTCATTTACAAAAGGCGTTTAATGCTGAAGCTTGTTCAAGCGTCATTGATATGAGCTAATTGTAATTTAGCTCAGTATGACCTTTGAAGTCAACTCTAATCACGCACTTCATGTCAAGCGACAAAATAACGCTACGCTTCATGTGGTGACGGCCCTCGGTTCCATAACCGACATCATGGTGAATTACAAATTTGAGGTATTATGTTGACCATGGAATTGTCATACAGTTCCTCTTCAAAAAGACTATTCTTCTTTCCAATCGTGCTTCATCAAACGCGAAGTGCTCACACCTTTGTCCACAACTCCAACTGCTTCGTCCACAGCTCCAACTCCCTTGCTCAAACATCCAAACATGTTCATCCTAAAATATGAGAGATTTAACCTATGGTAATAGTTTTACCTGACTAAATATACTGCTCGTCATGCCGACGGAATATTTCTTTGTTGTTGCGCTTTCATTTCACAACTGGTCGCGGGCGATTTCCAACGGACAAATGCAAAACAGCTTCATATATTGGGACCCTAATGACACTGGACCGAATGATTACCTGATTATTGAATCAAAGACTTCTAAATTCAATAGTGCAACTACGTTAGGGCGGTCTGAATTCGTCAGGGAATATTGCGTAAAGATATCCATACTTCCAGATTCCAACGCCGTGATCAAAGTATCACCTATATCAGTTTAAAATCGTGGTTAGTTCCTGTCACTCAGTGCCACTTGTTGGTGGCAGATCACACCCTGCAATCAGTTATGCTCAATTAACGAAAACGTCTAAAAACATAATTATTGATTTGCTTGCTGAATATTCGGCAGAACCCAACTGATGAGCTCATTTTGTATCATCATATTTATCTGTAGTGGTAAATCAAATCTTCGTGGATGTCGTAAAGTCGAAGGTGTGGTCCGCCTTTTATAGTATCACACCGAGTTCGTGGGTTTAGAATGAATAGAAAAAAACCTGTAGTGCCAGGCTTTGAATATATCACTTAACCGATCATTCTAACTTCTATTGAATCAACTTGAAGGAGTATTTTGAGTAGTTGAACGTAAAATCAGTTGTTAAGCGAAGTCGAGATGTTGTGAATGCTAAGCAACATTCTCGAAGAACTGAAGACATCTCGAGCACGTCGATGGAACACAATTCAGGTTCAAACCTAACATCTGGTGTCATCCTGCCATACTGTGGTCAAATGGCTCTGACGTACCCCCTCCAAATGTCACCACCTTTTGCAGACAGGTTAGTGATCAAAGGAGAGCCATCGGCGTAACACATGTGTGTGGAAACAGTCAAAGCGTGCTTGTCAACTGAAGCTGATTGACAGGCTTTTCATTGGAAGGGTGAAAAGTGGACGTAGGTAATTTCACAAACAGACACTCATAATCTTCCTCGTCAAATGCAACTGATCAAATATCAACTAAATCTTGAATCTTTTTCATGGTATAGGACACAGTATCTTGTCAGGGGAATGACAACGTTTTGGCACTGCTGTCAACCATCACCCGAAAGGCGCCTGCAATTTTTTCTGTCCGAGGGAAAAATGTCTGACTCAGCCAACCACAGGCGACGACGCATCTTCATGCATATGTGTTGCTTGAAGTAGGCTTATTTTACGAGAGCTCTACTGGTTGAGTGCCCCGATATTGTACAATGTTGGTGAGAGATTAGACCGCAAGTGACACAGAGACCGTTTTCTCGGAGCAAGGTTGAGCCGAAGACCTTTCACCAATTTAAAAACTTTAGGTACATGAATTTGCTTGCAAATGGAATTATACTTGATGTGCTTGACCTCTGGCGTATGTACGTTTGAAATGTCGACATTCGGCATCTTTCGGATGCCACTGCATCAACAGCTTTAAGTCTCTGAAGCGTTGAGTTTGCGCATGGGCGCCAGAATCTCCTGACTTCGATAAGTAGCATATTATAGTCAGCTCTAAGTGTCTTATACTTGACCCAGTAGTCGGGACCAAGACATGAGCTAATAAGAGCTTTGATGGTCATCTCTACTCTGGTTCCTGATGCATATCCCCTCGCCATTTTCAGGCCCTTATCACTGCAGGAAAGGGTTAAGGGATTTATTATAACACAAAAGCCTATTTAATATTTTTTATGCGCTACGTCGCAATGGGTGGGGAGAGATCTGTGCGTTGGCTCGCCCAAGTATAAATACTCGTAGATTCCACGCTGCTGCCTCGCTGTCGCTTCTACAGGAGTCACCCGACAGAGGTCCATTAGCTGTGGAAATCTATGGCCGATGTCAGGTGGTTTCTGTGATGAAGAGGGCCCTTCCCATATGGCTAGCTGGCTCGACCGTATGGCCTTTGGTGTTGTCTAGCAAGACTTGAGTGACAGTCCTGTCGGGTCACATTGAGCGATGTTCCTGTTGTGTCAAGTTGTGGCCTTGGCAGGTACGTCCATGATGCTTTAAGCAATCACCTTGTTAAAGTCGTTGTTCTTTCTTATATTATTTTTTTTATTTGTTTTTATATTAGTTCAAGGATGTAAAGTTTTACTGTTTTGTTGTCAATAAACATGAAGTCTACAATCTTATCGTTCATAATAGATCGTCGATCTATTAATCAACCCGTCAATGAGAGTTCGGCTTT